TACTGTTACTGCCGGTGGCACGACTGCTGGTAGTGGTGGGGCTAGTAGTGCTGTAGGTTCTGCCAGTACATGTGCACAACCGGGGACGGACGCTGACACTTCCCACAAATTTGAACCGCATGACAATGCTAGCACGGCAAATAGACACAATGATCCGTCCTGAGGCATCCTGGGACGGCATGCTGTGAAGCATTCCGAGTCTACATCGCTACGTCCGTGACCTGTGTTGCATAGGAAGTTAGGAACTGTTCAATACACCATAATGAAAGGTTAGTGTCAGTGTCGGTTGGTGCTGGACTCCAACAATATCGCACGTAGACAGACTGTAGACAGACTGCCGGTGGTTAGGCTATGTGCTCCTAGGCACTGTGCCGTCATGTCTGATACTTATCCGAGATTTGCAGAGGATTATTCCACTTGACCCGTCACGATCAGAGGAGAGGAGGAGAGCATCACTTTGTTCTTATGACCTGAGGCAGTGCAGCGTAGTATATTCTTCCATTGCATAATCACTGAGTGCTGAGAGAGTCACATCAACCTCTTTTTCACATTGTAGAGTATTGTCACTTTTAACTATTATATATCTAGCAGGCTGCTTTATTTGCGGAGAGAGTATCTAGTCATAGGAGAAGTCATTGTCCCCACACTGGGTACTGGGCCACAGTTCTATTCTTCACACTTGCACGTTACTAGAACTTGTTAAGGTTTTTCTTAGGGCTCAGTCACACTGTTTGAACAGGACGCAACCTAATTTTATTTCTGCTGTGTATGTGTGTATTTCAATTTTCAACACCCAGGAGGATAGATAGAGATGCCCCATGGTTCGCTCAAGCGATTAGGGTTTTTTGGTACGGTTTCTTTGAAATTCTTTCTGTTTTGTCTGTTCGTTTGTTTTGGAGACTTTGTTGCTTGTCTGTCCTCCTTTTTAACTATAGTGTCGGAACTGCAGACAAGCTAGTGTGTCCCATGTGGGATGTGAAGAGAAAGGGGCAAGAAGTCTGTGGAAGTCTAGAATTGCTGTTGAGTGGGCAAACTTCTGTTGCAATCATCCACAGTGAGTAGTAACATGTCTGTTTTAATTCCCCCTCTGTACAGGATATATCATGGATAGGTAGGAGGATGGATGGGATGTGAAGAATAGGTCTTGTGCTCTTGTTGCTGCTGCTGACTAGGCAAAACGCCTGTCCTTGCAAGCATCATATAATAGCCTAACCACCGTTTTGGAGGCCAGGAGTAGTAAAATGACATCACTGCTCCCTTGCTTGGAGGTGTGATTAGAATAGTTTTGTGTGGAGTCCGAGAATTGCTTCTCTTGCTGCTGCTGCTGAATGGGAAAAATAGTTTAGCAAACATCCTACCTAACCACTGACTTGTAGTCACTAACAGCTGAAAGAAACTTAGTACTAGTGTGGCATTCTACTTCAAAGTATTAAATTAATTCTATGTTTTGTTTTAAAGTCACTAAAGTGGTGTGATCTATGATCGTAGAACAAGCATTGCTTCCTTTGAGCATCAAGCCGTCTATGCGGAGTTTGTGAATTCCTACACGTATAATATGTTGGTTCAATAAAGGATAAAGGAGAGTGTTGTGCCAGTGTATGCACGCTGCTGCCTTATGCAATGGCGCTGACTGCACGTGGCTCTCGCATCTGGAACATGTAGTTGCTCTGGCGGCCCTTGAAGCTGGCTGACCTGCCCTTGTTGGCGCCTGTGCGTGTTGTGCCTATGTCTAGGCTGTACTTGGGTCCTGGTACACTGCGCTGTTGTGCTGCATGCAAGAAACACAACACAGAACAGTACGAGTAGCACACATGGAGGAGTACCGGGGTTTCTATATTGCGTGACATGGCTCACTATAATGAATCTTCAGACAAGGACCATCCAGTACGATACTGTAGTAGCAAGTGATAGTTCACGCTGATGTACTTCCACAGCACTCCACAACAAACTCTACACTAGCACTCTATGCCACACTGCTCCGCTTCACATCTCTACATCTCCACATCACAGAACATCTCCACATCACTCTACATCTCCACATCACAGAACATCTCCATAACTTCACACTAACAGTCTACACCTACCCGTACAGTTTATCCCACAAATCATGTCACCTTGTTCTACATTTATACTCCGAATACTATTCTCCGCACTACACCCATGCCTATCTGAGGAGCACCAGGTCGTCAGGCCCCCGTACAGGCAAGCTACTTAGCTAGGCACCTACTCGTCGCCTGATCAGGCTATGTCAGGCGCATGCAGAACTGCCGGTATATGTACTCACTTGTATTCTCGAGGTGTTTGTGTTTGGCACCAAAGCTCTTTGATACGGGGTCTGGCCTCAAGTAGTCGTCGCTGACTTCATAGACATCCGGTCCGGGACCGTCTTCATTTGTTCCTGTCAGAAGCAGACACAGTGCAGAAGAAGCTCAGTCTAAGTTCTAACTACCCGGACCCATGTCTAATGCATGTGCTGTGCTTGTGTGGACTTGGGTCTCATAGAACTGCATGATCACTGCAGTAGTGGTGCAGCACCTGTAAATCATGTGTAACCGACTCCCTAAGAAACAGCTGCTGCTGCTGCTGCTGCTGCTGCATGGGCTCATAATCAACCCTGGATTGGCACAGGTAGGGCGCACGTACATGAAAATGTTGTGCTAGATGTTGCACATGCTGGTACTGTCGTGGACATTGAAATCTAGACCGAGGCCTTACTGCTTTTAGCACATACATGCACTGTAGTTCACGCATACACACTATAAAAATGGGTCGGCAGTGCTTGCGGCTGCAGGGTCAACGCCCCCTGGCCGCTTGACTTCAACGGATTTCAATGTCCACAGCAGTACATGTTTCTACGTATGAGAAGTGTGCTGAGTGTGTGCTACCAATGCAGTGCACTGCATGGTCTCACTCTAGTCAATCAGTCGTGCAGCTCACCTCTGGGTGCATATCCACGGCGATTGCTGGGCATGCGGAGGGTTTTCCCCATGCTGTACTGCGCTGCCCTGGCCCTGTGTGGCTGTACAGGTGTTGTGTGCTCGTATCCATGGGCATTTGGTGCAGGTACTGTGTCTGAGTGGAGGTGGCAATCAACAGCAAGGAGTCAGGCACTGATAACAGTTACACCAGGTACATAGTGTGACACCATGGGATTAGAGTGTAAACCTATCCGACCGTCGTCAATTATGTAGCATATGCCAGTAAAGGTCACAACGGTAAATGCAAACCATCCACTGTTGATGTAAGTGCACGCTATCCGAAGCTTTTACTTGGCTCCGGCTGTCCATGAGAAACATCCATGCCAGAGGGCTCTACCCGTAGACAAGACGGTGAAATGCTTTCTCACACCATACTCAACTGAAGTGTAGTGACAATAATAGGTGTGTACACCACTTTTCCGTGACGTTAGCATGAGTCATGTATGCTTCACTGGTACTGAGTACCGCAGCAAGGCACTGAGGACTGTAACCAATCATGTACTAGTACATAGACTCGTGGAATTCACAGGTGCACAGTCTTATCGCTGCCTTGTGTTGATCAAAACAGAACTCACTTCTCCTTGGACGGTGTCTCCAAGCCATGGAATATGATGGCTGGTCATTGATGGAGAAGTCACGTATCCGTCCATGCTTATTCGGTGAAGGGTTGTCCATGACATTGCCTGAACCACCAACAAAATGACATGCCGGGCATTGCAAGTATTAGGGACATTTATCTCGGAGAGTTACATACTGTGCAACCAGAAAATGTTTGGTAACGCCGGCACTTTTTCACAGGGGGAGGGGGGGGGGTTGCAAACAGAGTAGGGGGAGGGGGGCCTGCCCCCCCCCCCCCCCCTGCCTAGAAGAACCCTGCTGATGATATCACATCAAATTTTCTGGTGGTTTTACAGTATTCTGCAGTTTGTAGACTATTACGCCTGCATTGTGTGTAGCTGGCCTGCATTGCCTTGCCTGCATGGCCTGCATTGCCTGCATTGCCTGCATTGCCTTGCATGCTCAGTCACCTGTGCTTTACTTGTAAAAGCGGGCTTGTGCCGTCAACTTACCTATATCGGGATACTGCAGGATGTCAGGGTAAACTGGCCGGCATCTCTCTGCGTTCCTGTAGCTTGGCGCGCAGGGGAAACGGTCGAAGCCGCTGGTGTCAAACTCAACTGGAGCTGGGGTCGGTGCTTCATCTAAACATCACAACAATGATGACAAAGGCATGTGTATGTTAGGCAGGTGTAAAACAACCGCGAAGCAAGACAGTGAATAGGAGAAAGTTGAAATTCTAGCGGTCGCCATGCCAGTCCTCACATGGTTTTCACGTCAAAGTGCCGCAGGTGCTCCTCATCAATACTATTAAACTTTTGTCTCACGTAAGCACACAGCACACATGCCACACACCATGGCTGTTGCTGCACAGGCGATAAGCCTATAACCCTACTCTCCAGGCAGTTATGGATGATACGCTGCTCTTACTGCACACATGTATCATGTATGTCAGCAGGCGCACAAGCTCATGATGTGATATGTATTATGCAGTCAGGGCCTCGCACCGGACACTGCCTACATTAAAAATAGGATTATGAAGCAGAAGGCATGCAGTAACAGAATGTGATGTGATGTGAGCTCGTGCACACAATGTGTTTGCCTTGTTTACCGGTCCGCTCGAATTCCCGGTACGTCATTGTATGAGAGGGAGGAATGTTAAGTCGCCTCGGTGAGTACTCATTAGGCGCTGGTCCGACGAAGTCTGCGATAGCACAACATTCATTACACACCAAAGAAAACACACAGTTAGGTCTACTGACATACATTTACTACACGTAAACAATGCACAGGAAGAAAACGATGGGAGTTCCATGTTTTCTGCAGTGAGGATACACGTGTCACCTCTTACCGGATAGACAGCCTACAGCTCTTTCATAGCAGCACCACTCTACTCCAACTACAGCAGGTAGATACTACCAGAGCACCCAACACTAGCAGAATAAAAAGCATGACCTTAGTTCTGAAAGCCAATAACTGCACTGACGTAGAATCCAGTCCAGGTACTGTACACATTCTCTTACTTTTTGGTTGGCTGCGTGTGAGGGTGATATTGGCGCTAATGCAGTAATGGGAGCCACAAGCCTAGCACTATGCTATAGGCGCTAACAAGAGTACATGTACTCTTGGCGCTAACGTAGAGCTGCAAAGACTAGATGCTGCGTGTCGGAATGTTCACTTCTTCTTGAATGTCTCCATACAAGCATGGTAGACACATTCAGGCGATGCATTGTACCGGTTTAACAGTGTGATCCTCTTTTCAGGAGAAGTCAGCAGCAAACAGAATTCAGCACCGCACATGCACTGGCAGCTAAACCCGGTACAACTATCCTCGCAGATACACACTTCACGGCCAACATGTCACTAGTGTAGTGCTGGACTGCATGGGAAATTGGACCCAAACGACAGCCCCACACAGGAACACTCAAGTAGTGCGAAAATCCAACCCAAAGTGCAAAACTGGCACCGTGAACCAGTTTCAATTGCATCACTGCATTTGTACACGTGTATGTCCAGCCGCATTCGATATTCGTAGCACTTCTAGGGTGTCAAGGGCCGTGCAAGTTACGGGTGCCAGAACATGCGCTTTGGGTTAGATTTCACCTAGCGTAGCTGTAGTGCAATGTATACTGATTACCAGTACAATGTATACGTCGACTGTGACCAGTTCACGCTTTCACTGTCACGTCTAGTACATTGGCCAGGCCGCAGTGGATCGGTAGCTTCACACCATGCAAGCCACACTGGTTATAGCTGCCTTACTGTCCAGTTTCTTGTGGCGGCTGGCAAGGGATGTTGCTAGGCCGGATCCCATCTGGTCAGGAACATAGTATTCTGCAGGTCCAGGTGTTTCTGTTTCTGTTGTTGAGGATTATCCAAATGGCAAAGAAGCAAGATGTACAATGTTAAATTCGTGAACAAAAACACAACACCAGCCAATTGATTTTCCGCCAACATGAAACCTACTTGTACTGAAGCCGCACACAACCCAAGTTCTCTCCCGCAAACCATTGAGCCTTGTGGCGCAGTACAACCGGCACACCATGCTTTTGCCAGTAGCGTGCCGGGGACTGTTTCGTCCTGTTCCATGCAACATGATCATTCAATGTAATGACTCAAGTCATCATTTCACACAACATCTCTCCACCGTGAGTCTCGCACAGCACCAATTTCACAGCATCATAAATTCAGTAAATGTATGGGAGTCTTTCTGACAACTTGCACCTACAATACGCCGTGGCATGCTTGCAGCCACTGTGACGTATACAGGATTCCACAGAAAAGTCGTACAGTGTGGCCCATGACTGTACACTACACATCAACGTCAGTCGGTTTATACAGTCGGCACATCATTAGCCTTGTCCCAGGCATTATCAAACTCATATTCTTTTCCCAATACAGCTATACTCAATCTAAATCTAGCTCACCTGAAGACTTTCCCAGTTTGCCAGCCAGGCTAGTTGCTCTCCCAGGAGACAGGATCCGTCCATGCCCAATATCTTCCTGGAACGGCCCTGTGCAGAAAAGAGCGGCAAGGACGTAGCACAGCCGTTACTACAATGAAACCACCCGTGAGTACACATTGCATTCATCATAGTAGAGCCAAACAGAATGCACGTAAGTCGATCTACAACAGTAGAAGTACTCTTGATATGAAGTACTTTTGGTGAGTTCCCCTGTGGTTTCGACTGTAAATGGTCCTGTCCTTAATCTCCTAGCACCATTATTGTGGGGGACCATATTTCCAATGGTGAAACCCATAGTCGAAGTACTCAAGAGTTGACCAACACTTCGGAATTCCCGGGCCAAAGTACTACTTTCCACACAGAGCCACTGCCCATTGCTCACAGTAGCAAGGTGAACCGTATCCATCCAAGACTGCCGTGCACCAACTGGTCGGCATCATGCACCGCGCTTCTACACATCTGATGAACAATGTGTACAACTAGTGACTTGCCTTGGCCATAGCTGGTGTAGTCATAGATCTTAGCCATGCCGAAAGTGTACGCCGTTCCCTCCTCGTCATCCGGCCAGTAGTCCGGACCAGGAGTTTTGAACCCTGTGTCGACATAACATCAGTGCACACAAACAATTCCTGTTGCCAAAAGTCGGAACAACTATCGCGTCGGGGAAAATGTTAGCGGGGACAAACCATTTGCGTATGTGAATATCTCCAAATGTTCGCGGTGGAATTATTAGTGATGCAGCTACTCCTTTTAAATTTGACGTCGACGTTTTCATAAAACGTCGATTGGTAACCGGAAAACTTATGATACGCTACCTGCCCATCGCTGAAGCAAAGATAGGGAGGCTATGTTAGACACAGCATCGGACAAAATTACATCAGGGGCGTCACACACGATATAACCAGTATGACCATGGTCGTACCACTTTTTGTCCCGGATGGTCTGCCCAGAGCGCATGTGGAGCGTTAGACCGTGCTCTGTTGGCTGAAAAATCCGACAAGCTACCGCTATGCTGCTTAGACTCACCATGAGTGTCGGTCGGTGGTATAGTCCTGTTGACAAGGCCTGCATGGATCCCCTCCTTGTGGCGAATGCCAAAAGAGGACTTCTGGGCATGACGCCCGGTGTCCGTGTACCTGGGTCGGTAGTGACCCGGTCCGGGGTCGTCTCGAATGTGATAGTCATCTGTGAGGAATGAGGATGGCGGCACATGCATGCGAATGTCATACACATGGAGATGCGGGTAGTGCCGTGGTACCAACATGACGTCAAGATAATCTTCCTAGAATGGGAAGAGAGTTTGCTAATGGCCACCAGCGTATCTGTAAAAACTGAAACGACTGTCATTCAGTAAGGGGAGACCAGTGCACTATTTTGGTACAGTAGGTACTAACATTTGCTTGCAACGGTCTCAGCATGGATACTGGTGGCAAGCCAAACCAAGCTCCATGGATACAGCAAATCTGCATTTACTCCCCAGGCTCATCTGTGGTAGGGCTGCGCATTTTCCAAGCTGGTATATTCCGATGAGATCTGGTTAGATTACCCATCACTTATAATTTCGATTTTCAGAGTTACACCGATTCACACAAAAGACACATACCAGTAGTTAATGTGGATCCAGGTTACATTACCGCACACCTCGACGGCTTAGTTGGTGTGGTGGAAGCGGGATAATCAGAAATGAGGTGCAAGCAATCACTGTACACCACATTCAAAGCAGAACTTTTACAAGCCGTGCATTGACGATGTTCGAACTTTTGGGTGTGAATCTTTTCACTACATTGTACATGTAGCCCAGTACTAATGTCTTCTAGCATCTGTACATGTAGCCCAGTACTAATGTCTTCTAGCATCTGTACATGTAGCCCAGTACTAATGTCTTCTAGCATTCTACATGTAGCCCAGTACTAATGTCTTCTAGCATCTGTACATGTAGTCCAGTACTAATGTCTTCTAGCATCTGTACATGTAGCCCAGTACTAATGTCTTCTAGCATCTGTACATGTACTGCCCAGTACTAATGTCTTCTAGCATCTGTACATGTAGCCCAGTACTAATGTCTTCTAGCATCTGTACATGTAGCCCAGTACTAATGTCTTCTAGCATCTGTACATGTAGTCCAGTACTAATGTCTTCTAGCATCTGTACATGTAGCCCAGTACTAATGTCTTCTAGCATCTGTGAGCGGACAAGGTAGAAATGGAACGTTAACTGCAGTCTGGCAAAAACTGTTTTTTTGCATGAAGGTCACCTACAACTATCTGTTTTTCAGATCCCAAAGTTTCAGACTGATACTATGGTGGGAAGTGCCTTACATTCACCATTTTCTAGATGCCGGTCAGTATTTTAACGTCTGTTTCGGGATGATTTAAACAGTCCACCCTTCAGTACAACCAAAACACTGAAAAAACCATTATCTTGGCCTGTATTTCTCCACAAGTGTATATCAGTGTGAAAGATGAGCTGATCACACACATGGCCCGACTCGTTTGAGGTGTAACCAAGCAACAAAACCACATAACTAGAAACAGCCGGAGCCGAAAAATCAGCTCCAGAGTAACTCGTGATGCAAGGCAAAATAATAGGACTGTTGAAGCTGGTACTCAATCCACACATCAAATACCACTACACACATGTCAAAATAGAAGAATTTGGCGGACAAATGGTAATTCCAGTGCGTTCTTGCTTCAGCCATGTGTGCACGCTCTCATCGTATACTGTTGGCGACCTCGGACTCTGCTCTGATGCATTGAGGCTCCCGACGACTGAGCGGCGCACCTTGGTAATATAGTTTGTAACATTTTGGCAGGAGACAGACAGCTCTTGAACACACAGCATCGAAATAATATTCCGGAGACGCACCACCAATACGGTGCCCATTGGCGAAGCAGGACGAGTCCACAGACTTGAGAAACTGTACTTAACGTAACGTTACACATCAGTCCGCAATCCGAGGCCCGATTTGACTTCTTTCCACTCAGCTCATGTTCACCAGCCTTGACCATTCTGTGTATCTCAATTCTTAAAACACTCATTTCCAGACAGTGCACGATGCAGGTCTGCCACTTGCATCCAATACATTGGGCAACAGGTAGCTAGTTGTTCTGGGCTATTAAGTCCCTGCATACGTTCCCCTGTGGTGCACGACGCTATTGTTTCTTCAGCTCCTGCGCTGTGTGCTTCAAAGCTCTGAAGTCGGTTCGGCGTATACATTCAGTACAACTCAGCATCCACAGGAACGTTCCCCTTCATTGGTGTTATCATCATCACTGCTGTCACCACGTTCGCCTGCATCCGAAAGATCCATCTCATTTGTTCCCTATGTCTTTTTGTACCGCGCTGAAGCCAGCAGCAAACAAAACGCTGATCGGCACGTCGTTTTCGGCGTAGTGGAAGACGCTCCCGACTACTACCTGACTCAGAAACGCTCTCAGAATCAGAGAAGCTCTCAGCACCTGACAGCAGGCTATCAGCTGATCGCCGTCACCTCCAAATTCGCCCGTCAATACGCCACCCGTCGCACAACTAGCTGCCATATCTTCCTTCAGCCATAACGGATTCACTTCAAATTTTCAGTGCTGGACCTTGAAGCCCTGTGCTGAGCGAGGCACAAGCGCTTGATGCAAATAGAGCCCTCTAACCCAGGTAAAAAATATGCCACCGTTTGCCAAACTTCAAACGCCTGTATCTCAAAATGATGTCATGCAGCTAACGTTCCATTTCTACCTTGTCCGCTCACATCTGTACATGTAGTCCAGTACTAATGTCTTCTAGCATCTGTACATGTAGTCCAGTACTAATGTCTTCTAGCATCTGTACATGTAGCCCAGTACTAATGTCTTCTAGCATCTGTACATGTAGCCCAGTACTAATGTCTTCTAGCATCTGTACATGTAGCCCAGTACTAATGTCTTCTAGCATCTGGTTACCATGGTAATCATACGAGTACAGTCGTCCCTCTCTAATCCGGCACCTTTTGCTACGGCGTTTTCTACTGGATTAACGAGTGTGCTGGATTAAGAAATCCTGCCCTCCGACCCGGCCCTACCCAATTGCATGCATGTATCATATGTACGTCAAAACGCAGGGTTTTTCCGTGTCGACCCAAGTATTTGGTGCACGGCTTTATATTCTCAATTGTTCTCCGGGAATATACACAGTGATAAAGTGATAAAGTAAAACAGAGAACATGTTCACATGTACTCTTGCACACACACACACGCACACACACACACACGCACACACACACACACCTGAAAATTGGCAGGACACTACTCCTTGCTAAAATAAGAAAGTATGGTTGACTGCCGTTGTCTCCTGGACAAGCCTAGCCTGGCCTGGCAAGGAGTGCACCTGTACGGTACGCGATTTACGACTGCCGGATTATGAAACCAAACTACGTGCAGTTTGAGCGATTTGTTTCAAAAAGTCACTGCCGGAGGCGGAATTCATGTGCCGGATTAAGATGAAGGAATTGAACGAAAAAAATCGGTTTCATCAGAAAGTGCGCCGGTTGGCAAGGGTTCCGGATAAACAAGTGCCGGATTAGAGAGGGACGACTGTACATGCACATGAACACACAGAGGCCGCAGTGCGCCTTAAAACCCGCTGCTAGAGTGCTCAATACGCGGGTGTGATGCCGGGCAGACTGCACAGTACTACCTCTTGTCCGTATCAATACAACTAGACTGAGTAGAACACGCGGATCCGGTGACTTACGCCGTGGGTGGTAGGGAGCAGTGGTGCCCTTGGCTGTCAGTGCCACTGATTTTGGCCGCTCGCTGCGCTTCTTAAACATCATGTCACCGGACGTGTCGTATTTCTCTGGTCCCGGATGTGTATTTGCTGCAGAAGAAGAATACACGAAAGCGGAAACTATGGTGTGCACACTTTGTCCATTTATAATACAACAAGAAAATGAACAAAGGCCGCTATAGATCAGTATAGCGGATCAGTAATATGGAAAAAGAAAAGGACCTGTAAGTTATTAGTTATGACCAACAGTCCACCAAGGTAGTGTGAGAGTCGGCTAGTGCAACAACAATGCACAAAACTGACAAGGATATTGAGACATTCGACGACCTGACACCTAGCTCCAACACATCTCTTGGTGGACAGTTAGTCATAACTAGTAACTTATAGGTCCTTTTCTCTTTCCATATTACTATTGACTCAACATCCGAGTTTTTATAGATCAGTATAGTGCCGCTTATCCAAGTTTTGTGCATATCCATTCCATATGGCATTCATTGCCTGGGAAGATCGAATGCAGAGGCAGAAGGTGCCATGGACGACGTCTGTGCCACATTGTGCTTGCTAACATCCCGCCAGCACTGGTCACTGCGGAGCACGACTCAAGCTGTTTGTGCTGCCCACGGCCGTGATGATATTTGCAACTCCACACCGTGGCTGTCAAACTCCAGCTACTAGGCAACAAACTTGATTTCCGGCACATGTTTTAGTGTGCTATGCTATTTGGGGCTGCAGTGGTAACGGCAAAGATTATTGTTTTGTCTATCAGAGTCTGAAATCTAGACTCAAAAGTAAAAAGCAATATTGTTAAAATGCATATCGGAGGAATACATGTAGATATCCAGGGTTCTAGCCAGGTCAAAAAAATAGCAGGGGGGGGGGGGAAGAGGAAACAGTTACCCCGTATCCCATGTTTCCATTTTCCAAAATTGTCTTGCCATGCAAAATGCAACGTACAGGGGTAAACCCCGGACTTCACCCCAGACAAATGTGCCTTTATTACCCCTCTTTTAGTGACTATCCACTGCATTTTCCGTTGAATTGCCTGAATAAACACAAAAATCGACAAATGAGTAGGGGGGGGGCAACACTTTTTCACAGGGGGCGCGCAAACAGAGTGTGTGTGTGGGGGGGGGGGGGGAGGGCTGTGCCCCCTACCCCGGCTAGAACCCTGATATCATTTGGCTAGGAGAAATTCAAGTTTTAGCAAAACACTCCTTTCTCGTGAACCTCCAAAACTAGAGCAGCGCTCATCTGACCCATTTTACATGGCATCACCAGCTGCTTCAACCATGTACGGTACGGTCGACCGCATTATGTGCTCGTTATGTTTGTAAAGGAGTCACGGAATCATCACCATTGACTATTTTACACCCATTATCTACTCTGTGTTCAGCATATTTGTTAAAACCCGCAGGACCTCCCAGTGTTTGCTAGTCCTGACACAGGGCACATCGGCCTAACTAAAGTTATTCCGGGATAGGTTAGCCGGCGAAACTGAGAGTGGTGTCAACAGAGCTTGGCTAAGTGTGCATGCATGCAATGAGGTACCTCGGAACTTGTACGGCGACTTGATGGAGTAAGCAGCTGACTTTGGTCGAATCAAGTCATCCTTGATATCGTACTGCGGTCCAGGGGTTGTCTCCGCTAAGATGTGCAAACAAACAATCAAACACACACACACACTTGTACTTGTTGCTCACTGCCAAAACTGGTCATGTGGGTCTCCCCGGGAGAGGGGAGAGAGACTCAAAAGGAATCTTGGAAAGATGACTCAATTGGCTATTGAACCGCCCAACGGCCGACACACCCTGAAATCCCCAAACTATGGGTGGACTTGGGAAATGATCCCACTTATGGGCTCACCACACCTCAGTAAGTGGGTGAGGACAAGGTGCAGAAAAAGGATCAGTGACGGCATCAGGGTATCCGTCCCGGGATCCAACTGCAGTTACCCCTACCCCCAGTGAAGGTAATACTTGCTACTAGTGTGGGTGCCTAAATCAGTGTGGACCTGGTATAAGCTTCACTAGCACCATTGATTACACAAGAGTTAATCTAGCCAGAAGCAGTCCATGGTTAACAGGTATGTATACTTCAAGTAGAAAGTATATGAACCCTGGAATCAACAAAACATTACACCTTCAAGCAGCCGAACCTGTTGGCAACAGACCCAACACAATCAGGCATAAGTGTACCCACCAATCGAATTAGCTGGCACACACAGACACGCACACACACACACACGCACACACACCTTTGACCTTTGACGCCCATCGCCGGAGGCGATGATAGCAATGCTATGGCAGAAGCCTTAGCAACTTGTGCTGGGATTGCACCATTCAACAGCTTGCAAGGCTGAAGAATTGACCGTCACTATTCAGCCTGGTCTACACCATACAGCTATTTTGAAGTGACTAATTTCTGGCCAGTGAATCCCTATTTTTGGTCTTTTTTTCATTTTTTTTCCCCGCACACACAACACACCACATACTCACATACTTCGGCATGCACTGGCTGTTGGTAACCACCCAGGAGAATGAAAGAAAAGTCAGGAAGAGTCTGAGAAAGAGAAGAAAGACGTGTGTGACCATAATCGTCGGGAATCGAACCCGCAACCTATCGATTGGAAATCGCTGCACATACCACTGCACCATATGGGACACACACATGGACGCACACACACACACACACACACACACACACACACACACGTTCACGCACACATGCCGACACAACATGGCACAGTAGAGTTGATCAAGCTCGTACCAAGTACGGTCAATGGCTCTCCAATCGTAACGCCCATCGCTGTACGCGGTCGACTCTTGCGCCCTACATGCAACACACCAGCACAGACACAGCTGTATGGCGTCAGCGTGTAATATTCTTTGATAGCCTCGTACACATCAAGTCATCAACCATAATTATCTAGCCCAAAAAATACTACAATAGCGCTGCTATACATCATCTCTGCATCATGTGATTGTACTAGTGTAGAAAGCAGGGGGTAATTTTACTACTCCCTGGTGGAAAGTGTACATGGTACAGTGTATGTGACAGTGAAATCCAGTACTACATGTACCATGTGGTCGGCTCATTGATGCTGGGATTCGGACTGGAGCTGGACCCAAAATGGCCGCCCCAGATGGTCGCGTTTTAGATCATGTGTAACAGCAGATCTCTTCTATGCAGTTACTGAAACTTCAGATGACACACTGCCTGCTGAAGGCATGTGTTTGCATGTGCGCGGCCTCAGCCTTACGTCTTAGTGCGCTTCTCGGTCGATCATCAAAGCTGTCCTCGAGCTCTCCATGGGTTGTTGCATCTGCAAGACTGACTCTTCGCTGTAGCTTTTGAGGTGGGACGGAGTACTCCATTGGTTCGCTGGCCGTCTCCTGTCCATCGGCCGGTGTTCTCTGTTAGAGCACATCACCCAGAGAGGTTTAGCACACACGGGAGACAAGTCATGATACTGACTAATGGGGAGGGAGGATAGACACGATTCTATAGTAGGCCCTGGCGGATAACACCCCCTCCCCCCCCCCGGATAATACTCGAGAAATTGGTGGATTCTACTTGTCAAGCCAATGATCCTTGTCCTCGTGAGTGGTTAAGGGCGAGGGTACAGCCTGTTGGAAGCAAGCAGTGGAGTAAGAGAGAGCCTCGTTTGTTTGTGTATGCTACCCAGTCACCTAATCGGCAGGGTGCTGCCTCGGAAGACAGGAAAGCTGGATGTAAAGATTCTAAAACCCGCCTGCCTGTGGACCCTTCTTTTGCAGCAGCAGCTGCATGCATGTGTAGCTGAGCCAGCATACATTGCACATGCCTGTCCATGATTAGTTTCTTGATGCAGTTCTTGCAGACATTGCGGGCACTGCAGTGTACATGCTCAGCGCAAGCTATGCAGATCCTACCCCTATGCACTCTTTCTGGCTTTGTGTCAAAAGTAATCTGACTTTCTGCTACGCTCCTTGTCCTTCTCGCAGTTAGAGCACTCAGTCTGACGTTGGTGGTCTGCGGCTCAGGCGATTCAGTCCGGCACTCTAAGCTCCGCTAATGAGACCTCAGAAGGTGGAAGCAGCTACGGTTGTCTGGGGATTGAGTGTAGGTTCTGCAGTATACATTGGTGGGCATGCTGCTGCTGGCCATGGAAGCCTGCCATCATGAATACTGCATCGGTGGATTCTACTTCGAAGTACATAATACTGCGCTATACAGCTGTAGGATCGGTGTGAGTGTGTTGACCAAGAACCAGAGCATGGCACTGCTAGCTTGTTCACGCAGCCTGGGAGAATTTCACTGTGGTCTGTACAGATGCTTACAGTCATGTACATGTATGTACCGTCATGCAATAAAGTACATTGTACTGTTACGGGCATTGAAATCCGTTGAGGAGTCGAGCGGCACTCGGGGCGCTGACCTTGCAGCCGTGAGCACTGCTGGTTCATTTTTGCAGTGTTACAGTGCGTGTACGCGCTAAGCAAGTAAGGGCGCCGGCAGCCCCGGTCATTCCACCGGATTTCTATACCCACAGCAGTATTCATGATGGATGCAATTGCATTGCAACTCCCGCCCATGCACAGTGACACTCAGTGACACCTCAGTACTAATACATAACAGATTAACTCCCCACCCCTTTACATGCAGTCAGACCTCAGTACAAACTACTAATAGTACTAATACATAACAGATTAACTCCCCACCCCTTTACATGCAGTCAGACCTCAGTACAAACTACTAATAGTACTAATACTATGATCCACAACATCATAAACACTACAGGCAGTACAGTAGTAGCTAGTCAGTCAGTATCCGTACGTACATACCTCTCCCATCTCCTCCATGACGTATACATGTACGTCTGCTAATCCAGGATGCTGAATGCATGCACCTCAGACTAAAAATCAGATAAGCAGTACAGTGCAGTGCAGTATACGCAGGCCGTTGAAATCCCGGATCGTGATGCAAAAGTAGCTCGCGCACTCAAATCCAAGACTCCCGAGAAAGGCCTAAATAAAACCGCTCGTAAGCCGCTAGGACCCAGGTCTAGCTATGTCTACATGTGCAGGCTTCCAATGCAGACTTGCAGTGAGCGGGTAGCGGGTCTTGAAAAAGATAGATCCTAGGATACAAAGACGTAGACACAAACAAATTTCTCCGAGGCTATGAGTATGAAATGTCATGTACAATGTATAGCCAGTATCCTTTTCTTACGCCGGAGATTCGAAAATGCCTCCACTGGCTCCAGTTCGGGCCCACAACGCATCCACACGTAGATCTAGAATGCGGAAGCTCTTAGTCTTACTTGGAAAACGCCTAGACAGACTCAGTGCCGCTAGCTAGTGGCATAGTCGACGCTGTTGAGTGTTGTCTCCAGTGTTGCCTGCCACTTATCCGAATGTCGCTCACCGAGTCAGGCCAATGCAAGGACTTAGCCTTAGGGTTAGGTAAGGAATGCCGTTCCGCATGCCTGTCTCCGAGTATGACACTCGTTCTGTAGTCACGAGATTCCGATGCGCACAAGAATGCTTTCTTTGCACAGCTAGCCATTGGCATTGGCATTGCCATTGTTTGTAGCCACGGCCCACATATGCACACTCGCAGCACAGGTACTCACGTCGAGCGTCGAAGGAACACACTTTCGTAGCCATGGTCACCTGGACCGGACGGTGACGGGGAAGCCCCATGCAACCACGCGCATGCGGTGAGTACCAGTAGTACATACCGGTACTGTAATAATTATGTCTACCATGCATGATGTACCATCAAGAATATAACCCCCCATTACGTATCTAATATTGACTGAGTACGAGGTCAATATAGGAAATAAAAGCCGAGTAAAAGACCGAGGCGAAGCCGAGGTCTTTTACGAGGTTTTTATTTCCTATACTGACCAAGTACGAAGTCAATATTAGATTTATCACGACAAACAGTCCGTATTTCAAATTCCAAAACGATAACCTCGTGAATCCCGGTTTTATGATTGCACAACCGTTGCACCACCACCTACTCATGCAGTGACAATGCTGCACTAGGCACCGGTCCGCTCAACTGCGCGACCCCTAAGCAGTCAAATATAAGCAGTCAATATAGCCCTAAGGAGTGAAATATGCAGGAATATTTGACTGCTTAGGTATGGCAAAAATCTATGTGAGTCAATACTAAGGGAGTGATAATATGCATTAGCTCTTGGTACCATGCATGGACATGACACACGTGTATGCAGACTGGGGGGTTGGACCCACGGAAATGGTATGCACATAATTCAGGGCTGAGTAGCATAGACATAGTGCTCCCTGACCGAAATGAAGCAGCCAGACATGTCCATTTCGTACATGTTTCATCAGCTGAGATGAGCAATGAGAAGGCATAACCATGAACAGCTGGGGAGGATGAACCGGGACATCAGAAACAGCGTACATTCGGGTAAGAATATGTGTGTTCAAAAGTGAAGAAAGAGAAAGTGATACTAGGCATTGGCGGATAATGCTCGACAAGTTGGCAGATTCTGCTCGAAAAGCAGTGAAATTGGCAGAACCATACAAACCTTATGGCGGGCAATTCCTCGAATTCTGCTCCATTTCTTTATCCACATACCAAACATGCATGAAACTTACCAGAAAAGTACCGAATTCTGCCAATTTTTCTGCCGGCATTATCCACAAAGGCCTAAGTCATACCATTTCAATTTCCATTGCAGCTGTATTCAGAAAACCAAAGTGACAACAGTGTCTTTTCGTCACTTCAGAAAAAAGGACATTCTAGTATTCCCGCCCAAGTGGGCATTGCTGCTGTCACACGTACTCTGAGCTGGCAGATATTTGCCCCAGAGCCAGCATCACTGCTGCATGCATACACTGTGCCACCATCCCCCCCCCCCCCCACACACACACACACACATACCGACAAAACAAACATCCACACGCACGCACGATGATAGAACATTGTATTCAGATTGTTTCCGTAATCAGAGCACTCAACTCAACTTTTCAATAACTTCAGAAGGGGAAGGGGAGACACAATAATAACGTTACATTGTATAACAAAGCCGAGAAGAACAAACAGCATTCAGTAATGCGTGTCTGTTGGAGCGTACAAGGTACAGCGTGGTTAGTACTGGTAGCACTGTACGCAGTCTTCAATAATGCTGTTTACAAGAACCGGTAAGCCCAGATAATAAGTAGCGTTTGTCGTGCGCGCGCACACACACGCCCACACACACACACACGCACCCACACACCTGTGTGTTAGCAGCAGCAGCAGCGGCAGCACACCTGTGCAAGATGTGCAAACATAATAGCACACCTAGGCAATAACACCAGGCAACGGCACAAGCCAACAGCCAACACAAGAATAGCGTGGGTTTCATCAACTTTCATGGCGGCAAGATTGCCCCTAATGTTACATGTTGTGTACTACGGGTATAGACCCGCACAACAACAACAAAAACAACATCCCATATCCATATTCGGAAGATACGAGATCTAAGCATTCATCCGATAAAAATAGAATTCTCTTTCTACTATAATTCTAAATTCACGGCAAGACGAAAGCAGCATGCACTAGAGGAGGCAAGTCAATAAAGATGGACAAGCAGGTTTGACAAGTCCGGCCATTTCAGGCATCTAAAAAAGAGAATAGTGAGAGGGAGTAAAAGCAAGATATAGTGTCAAGACATAAAACAATGCTGTTGAGAGTAGTGGTCGGTAGATGATTGAAATATTCAGTTTGTAGCCTTGTCAGTACAGTTCAAGTTATAGGCAGTATCATTGCGCGAGTCGAAGGGAGGAAAGGGAGGAGGGTGATTCAAGCGACACACCGCTATGATTCCTTCTTCATCTTGGGAGGTGTCTCAATGTCATTCGGCGATAGGGAAGTGGCACGCTTGAGGGCTTCAAGACCACGCTCCACTGCAGGCCCACCGTACTTGGCCGACGCGGGCGGGAGGGAAAGCGGAGTGGTTGTCTTGACAACACTGCCTTGCCTCACCGGCAGCATGGCCAGTTTCGTCTTGGCTGCTGCTGGTGGTGGCGGTGGTGCTGCCGTGACGCTCACACCGCCACCACCTTCAGAAAACGTCGTGTGCGTCTTGGGTACGGTGGGTACAGTGCGCTGCTCCGAGCTGCGTGTTACCGTGGAGATGGAGGGCGTGCGTTGGTACGGCTGTCGAGGAGATTTGGCAATAGTCTTGCCTTCCGACAGGCCCAGAGCCTACAGTGAAGAAACGTGACCAAAGAAGCACATGCAATTGGCAATGCGCCTGCCTGAACTCAGGACGCAACGATGCCGAGATACGGGTATTTGTTTACGGCTCCTGGCAATGAAGGGCAGCACTAGAAAAGACGAATATACGATGAGCTCACGATGTCCTATGGTATGCAAGTACAGGACTCCCGCACTGATCACCTGAACCAGGGTGGGCATGTCGATTGCAGTTTTCAGCGCCATCCAATGCCATCCACCGTTCACATCCACCTCACATGCCTGCTACATGATAGATGGGGAGTAGAACACCTCTACCGGCCTTACTTGTAGCAAATTGCATGTGTATTGTGGTATCATCACAGGCAGCCATCATCAAGAGATCAAGATAATCTGGTCAGTGATATGCAGTGCCAACATGTCAACCAAATCGTATGCAGTGACTAGAAATGCTTCATTGCAATGTCCTTTGTAAACACAATTTTCTGCCAGCTCCAAGCTGATGGCATACATAGGTTCTAGTGTGGTACATGTACAGTCGAATGTCACTTATCCGGTCGCCAGTTATCCGAGCACGTCGGTTATCCGACAAGCCCGGGAGTGGTAATTTTATGACTCTCCACAGTAAAATCCTAAAAATAAATAAAAATAAACTTTTGTTTTTGTATATTATACGGTGTAATATGCATTTACTTGAAGTAGATGTGGTCAAGTATGCTAACGTGTATGTGTACATGGAATATGCATGAATATATTCGGTTTTGTGTACATAAATCAGTGAAATCCAGCCATATATGCACATAAAAAATGATATCAGTTATCCAACATATTCAGTTATCCAACATGCCTGATTCCCGAAGTGGTCGGATAAGTGACATTCGACCGTACATGGCCAGACTGGTATCTTACTAAGGTGCAACGAGTGCTGGATTAGGAGTGTATGGAGAGAGAGAGAGAGAGAGGGTGCTGCTAAACATCTGATTCACTGCTCAGTGAGGTGCACTAGTGGGTCGTGGACGTGAAGTCATAATAAATCCAACATGCCAAACGGCAGCTCTCTTTTTCAGAAAGCGTGCTGACCCCGACCGGGTCAGTGGACTGTAGTGCCTACTCAGGGAGTGCTGTCTCTAGTGCACCCCCCCCCCCCCCTTAGCACGTGCCATCACTGACAGGAGTGGCGTCGCCATGGAAATCCTCGTTGCACGTACACATCACAGTAGCTACTTACCTTTATTTCGTCAGCCATGTTACGCAACACCCGGGAGTACGCTAGACTGTCTGGGATCTCACAGCGGTGGAAGTAGATTTTCTACAATATAAATGAAGAAGACACAGGAGAGGGAGGGAGGGAGAGAGAGATAGAGAGTGAGAGAGAGAGAGAAAAGACAGAGGGAGAGACGCACATGCACATACCCACACACACATACACGCACACACAAAGAAAGAGGGTAGGCACAATGGATTTTATCATAGTCTGGCCTTGACAAACCAAACCAGCTCTGTGAGAACACCAACAACGAACATGCATACATTCACACAGCCATATACACACAGCAAGTACTCCAAACAGCAAGCTGAACTACAAAGTACATGTATACGGTTCAATACATACATCTGGCTGGGTCCAGCTCCTCATGCCACGATGCAGCGCGGCAAGACCATTCTGAATGTAGTGTGGAACATCTCGTCCGGCCTTACGATACTCTATCAATGCACAGACAACAGTTGAACACATGCGTGTAACAGCACACGGAATCAAGTTGTAAACGAGAAAGTCTACTGAGTGGTAAACGGAAAAAATTTGAAGAAAAATTTGAAGAAGAGTCCAAACCATCCATTGCATCGCTAAAAATGGACTGCTTTGATATGTGTGGTGCATGCATCATTTTCTCAGACCCACCTAGTACCTCCAGGGATTACTTTAATTTCACAAATTTTGGTACTTTCGGTGCGTCTGTTTCATACCTAAAATTTCAATGAACCGAACAAACACTAACACACATAAACCAATAGGAAACTTCTTTTCTTCACCTAAAATTTCTGTTCACCTAACCTGGCCTTTTGCCCTCATACCGAAAGTATTGAGCACCTAAAATTTCTGAAATTAGTACACGGTTACGCAGCCAAAAATTTCTTTCATAAAATTGCCTGTTTCAAATTTGCACTTGGGCACAAATTCTGCATCAACCTAACTATATCCACGAGAGCACAGCAGTAACGTTTTACTGCACGATCACCAGTATTCCACCTCTTAAGTTGAAGTCTACCGATGACCTGTGCGCTGAGCGGCCTACACTCGACTGCACAAAAAGGTCTACGAATACCTCACTCAATTGCACAAAGGTCTAGTTCACTCCGGTGCACAAATGTCTATTAATTGCACGTCAACAAAATACCCTTTTCATTGAAAATTTACTGAAATTTACGACGCAGTGGCAGAAATCTCGCAGATTCACCGCACACACCAATGACAATAGGACATGGAGAGACGGGGGGGGGGGGGGGGGGGGAGGAGAAGAGGAGTAGACAACAGTACTAGATAGGCGTGTCAGCCCTCACCTTCCGCTTGTTTCGTAATGTGGACAGCTGCATACCAGTTGAGCATCTCAAAATGAGGGAACAGATGACGGTCCTGGACTTTGAGACGCATTTCTAGCTGATTAATTCTGAAAAAGGACCAGCAAATAATAATAGAAATAATCGTGAACAAGCGTTTCGGAGGCAGCAACTTTAATATGGCAATCAAGAGTACTAACTCTGTGGTAACCATGCTTTATGACAGTAGTAACAAACATGCGAGAGCAAAGGGAATGTGAAATTCACATTTTGCAATCTCATCAATCAGCTCAGCCACAGCAATGACATGTTGGATCAAGCCGAGGGGAGGATTTACTACAAAGAAACTCGGACAAGACGAACAGTCGGATGAGACAAGCTATTTTCAGGTCCCAGTGACCAGGAGCACCTTTCACATCCACTGCAAAGCTCCTTGGCAACCCATTGGCAAGTTGTTGTAGACTTCACTGCTCTCCCCCCCCCCGGTGTATGTGCATGTGCCTCCTTGTCGGCGGGTGAGGAACTGGGTACATCCTAGACCAGCATGCAAACCACCAATTGTGTGTTCGTGAAGGCGCATCCATAGACAATAGATAGCAGAACATGCCAAAGGGAGTTTAGGACAACATTCCCCCAATGGTAAAGAACACACTTCAAGCACAGGATAAGTAGTGCATTGGAGGCCATGCTGCTGCTGGTGGTGGTGGTGGTGTGCGTGTGTTTGGATGCAGAGCAGCCCAGACTCACTCAAGCTGCAACGGTATTGAGAAGGAGTGGATAAAATTCCCGCCAAACACCAGCGAATCAACGGGAGTCAAGACAGCGTGAATCCAACCTGAACAAACAAACAAACAACAACAACAACAACAACAACAACACTGGTTATCGTGAGAATAAAGATTTGAAACAATGAACGAGACAAAAATCCCAAGTTAGTGTGTGTGTGTGTGTGTGTGTGTGGGGGTGTTCAAGACCCCAACCAAGCCAGCCCTCTCCCCCCCCCCCCCCTCCTTGCCTCTTGATCTTGAACATATCTCCTTGAATTACTGCCATGATTGAATCTTGCGGCAATCTCATCAATCAGCTCAGCCACAGCAATGACATGTTGGATCAAGCCGAGGGGAGGATTTACTACAAAGAAACTCGGACAAGACGAACACTCAGATGAGACAAGCTACATACAACATCAACAAAGAATTGATCAACAAGAGCCTCCCGCCACGCTGGCGGTTTCAGAGGCAGCTATTGCTGTTTAGTATTTCGTTTTAGAACTTTATTATTCATATGCATTTGTGCAGGCGTTGTGGCTGCATTCCTCACTCTAATTATCATGAAAAAACTTTCGTCTGATTTTTTTCCAGGTCCCAGTGACCAGGAGCACCTTTCACATCCACTGCAAAGCTGCTTGGCGTCCCATTGGCAAGTTGCTGTAGACTTCACTGCTCCTCCCCCCACCCCGGTGTATGTGTATGTGCATGTGCCTCCTTGTCGGCGGGTGAGGAACTGGGTACATCCTAGAACAGCACGCAAACCACCAATTGTGTGTTCGTGAAGGCGCATCCATAGACAATAGATAGCAGAACATGCCGTAGCTGACATGGATGCCGTTCAAATCCTCTACCGGGTATGTGGACCTGCCAAACACCTCCACGGCAATGCAAAAGGTAAGAAGCAATGGCCCAAGTGATGAAACATCCGTCAATTGTCACAATGAAAACAAAAGCAATCCCCCCCCCCCGAGAGGATGGCAACTAACTTACCGGACGGGATCAGTAGCGTTGCTCCAGGCTTCACACGGCATTCATAGCAGTGATCGACCAGGTCGCCTAGGAAGTTTTCACTCTGTGCGTCCTCTTCGTGCCACTGGGCATACTGTTCCAGGTTCTCAGGGGTAGGCCGGATCAGATAAAACACCTTCTCTCCCTGTGTTGGCCACGCGCAGTAAAGAATACAGCAGAGTATAACGGCGTCACGCTACATGGCTGAGTACAAACTTATAAAGGTGAGAGAGATAAATAGGTCCAGGCAGAATCCCCCCCCCCCACCCACTGGGTCCATAGGCTCACAGTGTATACTCGACTTTGGTGAACCTCATGCTGTTGTCCGCACTGTTCTGTCACCGTATGGCCTGATAATATGATGTTATACTGTTGTGCTATGGCGGTAGATACACGTACAGTGCTCATATTATCCTGCATGTTCGCTTTGCCGTAATGTCGTAGATGGGGGGGGGGGGGGGGGGGGGGAGAAGGCAGTTACATGCATGTACTTTGATTGCGCATGGGGTGAACAACAATAAGCATACAACAACAGCACACACATTTCACACAACAGCACACACATTTCACACAACAGCACACACATTTCACACAACAGCACACACATTTCACACAACAGCACACACATGTCACACAACAGCACACACACATTTCACACAACAGCACACACACATTTCACACAACAGCACACACACATTTCACACAACAGCACACACACATTTCACACAACAGCACACACACATTTCACACAACTGCACACACATTTCACACAACAGCACACACATTTCACACTGAAACCACCAGAAAAGTGAAGAGGGCAGCAATCCAACTCACCTTCAAAACATGATACCAGACGGATGAGCCACCAAAGTCAACGTGGAAGTCTGTGTACGAATTCTGGGTGCTCATCAGGCAGTACTTTTGTACCTTGGGACGGCTGGGTTTCTTTCCAGTTCTAACACAGCAGTGCAAGACAAGAACACCAAGGCAAGATCAACTAAGGGCCCGTATGGGTAGCCGAGGTGCCGGCAGATGGCAAAAGAGACCATCCAGAAGCAGAAGATGTGCACTGTACTGCCATTGCATGACATCACCACACAGTGGTGCATGACATCACCACATAGTCACATACAGTGATAGAACAGCGTGAATGACATCATGAGGTTGCTCACATCACGCAGGAAAGCAAACAACACCCGCCCGCCCGATAAACTGTCTCTTGAGCTGTACATGCACTCCCATCTATTGGGTAAGAACAACCCAAGCAGCCAATAATTGTGCCTGCACCTTGGTTGAGCACTGCACTCTGCACCTGCTTGATGATCAGGCGGTGGGATAAGAGGCGTGGCTAGTGCTCTGCTATGACTGCAGCCACATGCACTCACAACACAGCTAGGGCACGGGTAACACACACAGCTAACATACACACTGCCTATAGTGAGTTGAACACTGCATACAGTCCATTTCAAAACTATAGACGCGTAGGGTTTTTGAAATATTTCAAAAATTTGGCTGGACCTTTTTGAGAATAGTTTTCGGAATATTGCTCAGGATCGCTCCACAATCACTCCCATATAGTTTCTAAACGATTGGATAACAGACGCCCAATTTGGAAAAAATTATGCACAAAGTGATCACAGATTTTATGTGGTATAGATGCTGGCATAACGGTTTTTGCCTAGGTACGCGTCTATAGTTTTGAAATGGACTGTAGCTCATAGACACCCTCTCTGCATCATAGTACATCATACATCAGGACCAAGCAGAACGGCCTAGTGAAAGGGCGACATGCCTATCGAGCGTGTTCCAGGAAGTGTAAAACGAAACAACAGATCACCAGCAACAATAAGCAGAGACTGGTACCCACTGGGGGCCAGCTAGGCTTACCCATCTTCATTGGGAGAAGAGTTGACCTGCTCTGGTTCTTGGCAGTGCTCAGGCCAGCATGTCTGCACCCAGTCTATCTGTTGCACAACACTGGGTGGCTCTACAAACTCTGATAGTCTGCCGGCGGCAAAAGAAAACACCAAGACACACAAAATCGTGTGAACGAGTGAACGCACAAAGCACAGTACGCAATTTCGCAAATGCTAAAAATTAAACTGGCGCTCATGTCAAACAACAAAGCAGCAACGGTTCAGTTCCAGAATGTTTTCTTGTCACATTTATCAATGGAATTCAGTTTAATTTTGTTCATAGCTAATTTACGGTTATTATCTCCACGTCGACTATTCACGAATTAATATTTGCTAACTTTTGTGAGAAGAACACAACGCAAATATTCACCATCATGAAATCAAACTTCAACAGTGGGTGTATGTGTGTGTGTGGCCACAGTGTTCTGCGAAAATCTGCCATCGTGAACTCGCCAGTTTTGAGAAATCGCGAAAATTTAGTGACGTGAATATTGGGCGGTTTACAGTACACTGCGTATGAGACAGTAATGATCAAGACAGGGCATAAGTAGCAGCAGCAGCATCACCACATGACATACTGTGTGTCGCTGAACTCCAGGCTGATAACATTGAGAGTGCGCTCGCGCTTCTCTGGCGCCGTGTTGAAGTAGTCGCACCAGTCCGGCATGGACATCTTGAAATCCTCCTGTACGCACACCAGCCAAAAACAAAAGCAACCATGCATCATGGCACTATGCCCACGCAGAAAGAAGGCAAGGAAAAGCCATCTCTAAGTACCAGTAAGTGGCAGTAATATGGCCCAATATCTGAGAAAATCGACCTTCGGGGCTGTTTTGGTGAAATTGATTTTTTTGTTGCAAATTGATGTCTAGCCTTTGTAGAGTATTGTCACTTCGTTTCACGGCCATCAGACCAATATTGACCATGTAGAAATGCATTTTACAGTCAGGAGTCATGTTAAAATGAATTGTTCTTTTTTTTACAATTTTGAAAGATCAGTGTGTTTGGAGCCACCAAAAATTGTTTCCGTGTGATATCAATAGCCAACTAATATAGTAAAGTGTTTTGACTGTTCAGGTACTTCATTTCCAGCATTCCGTGACTTTATTGAGGTTGTGTAGTTTCAACAGCAGCAATAGCAGCATTAGAAGGAGAGGTGATTTATCTGTTCTCCTGGTGATGGACATGCTTGACAGGATAGTCTGCAACAGGTTTTGATGGAACACCATGATACATGTAACAGCATTCACATACTTATTGTGAAGGAGTCAAACAGAGCAAATGCGTCCAGATTCGCCTTGTCACACTTTGTGGAGACTGACCATTTCCAAACATCAGTAACACAGCCTGACAAGCGTTTCACACCACCAACTCAAAAGTAACAGAATGTTACTAGTACTCGAGATTGCCCAGCCTCACGTGCTCCGTGATGGTCTGATTCGCCATTATTGGCTCGAGTATCGAGCTTGCCATCCAAAACATTTTAGGATCATCGTCGCAAAGAAAACTCGCATCATTTCGTGCTGTTTTAGCAGGTCTGGCGTGACACTCAGGAAACAGTTCTGCCACCCGCGCAAGGGCGTTCTGCCACCCGCGCAAGGGCGGCCAGCGACCTTGCACGCGGCGTACCCTCAGGAATCCACCTGGTTGTCCTTGCCTGGAGCTGTAGCAGCTATCGCTGAGGCAGACTGTGGTTGGCCTTGATCATACTCATCCAGGCCAAGTCCTCATCATCGTCGCCCCCGACAGGTAAGTACCGCGTGTCACTTGCGATCCATTCGACTGACATGCGCTCTCAGAACTAGAAGCGCTGTCGCCGCTTGACAGGATATCCACAAAGAACGATGCATCACCGTCCATGGGATCGCGGCTGCTGTGCTCCGTGAGCCCAATAACCAACTGACTCAAGAATCGCCTTCCATTTCCTTCCGCCATTGTCATCTCTGCACTTTGCTTCGACAGATTCGATTTTTTTGCGAACAAATTTGTTTTTAGTGTTTTCTCAAAAAAAACGCGTAGCCCCGAAGGTCAAAAGTCTCAGATATCGGGCCATATAACATTTCTGTGGCTTATGGGCATGGTTGCAATGAGTTCAAGCTCGGGATGATCCTCGTACGTCATTGATAGTAAAATATCCAGCTGACCTAAGGGCAAGATGAGGCAGAGGCAGTCAAGGTATTCATTTGCTGGTGAGCAGGTATGTGAAGGCGCTTTCCACTATGTCTACTATGTTGGCATTAAAGGGGAAGTTCACCCTAAATGAAAACTTCACAACTTATAGCGAAAAATGCACTGATTCCAATGGTGAAGGTCCCCAGGTTGATCGGAGCAGCCGTTCTGGAGTTATACCTGCTTGAAGTTTGCACTACATTTGGTGATATCACGATGACGTCATTAACTGGCCCAGACCAGGCCGGATTTATGACGTCAGAGAGATAGACTTTGTATGGGAGTAGGTGGGGAAATTTCAGTATTTTGGCTCTCCATTGCCCCAAAGAAGTTAGATCTTTTTCAAACTTTGGTATGGGACATATGGCACCCTACCGTTATCCCAACTGGAAAAAAACCTAGTATTAAATTCAATGTTGCAGAGAAACAAGAAAGAAATTGGTTTTTCCCCATCTACTCCCATACAAAGTCTATCTCTGACGTCATAAATCCGGCCTGGTCTGGGCCAGTTAAAGGGGCACTCCGGGAATATTTTCGGTGGTGTGCTTGGGAATGTTGACCAAACATCGTTCTTCATCACCAGAAAATTCAAAAAACTAAGATCTTCAAATGCAGAGAATTTGAATACTAATCACACGTGACGTCATCAAAACCATCAAAAGAGGAGACAAACTTGGCCCTCCCTGGCTTCATAATCATATATCGACTTTTTGGGTCTAGTTTTCGCGATTCCCCATTCCTTGGGGGCCATATAAGGCCCCCATGAAGAGAACACACCACCGAAAATATTCCCGGAGTGCCCCTTTAATGATGTCAGCAAATTTAGTGCAAACTTCAAACATGCATAACTCGGGAACGGCTGCTCCGATCGACCTGCGACTTTTACCATTGGAATCAGTGCATTTTTCGCTACAGGTTGTAAAGCTTTCATTTTAGGGTGAACTTCCCCTTTAAACAACTGGGAAATATAGTGAAGAATTGGAAAATGTGGGGTCTTGAACTAAGGGAGAATGGCAACAAGTGAAAGAAACCACACAATGCACTGTCATTGCAGTATTCTGCAGTTGAGATTGTTGTCACTGTCCTGAAAGTTTTTGCTGACCATCATGGAATACCGCAGCCAGCTTCAGTCCGTAGCTGAGCGGGCACAGCATTGGTCTACTTGGCAATGCCCAGCACCATACACCCATACATAAGCAGTATGCCTCATCATGAGTGGGATCTGGCATCCAAGCTGTGTAGGATTAATTCCGGAACATTTGGGTTGGTAAAAATTAAAAATGCCTCATCTGACGGCTCATTTACGACCGCGCTCAAATAGAAGATGTGGCAGTACCGGTGGTAGATGCTGCAAGTTAAAAGCAGTCTACTCCTACGCTACACTGCATTTGCCCTACCTGGCGGTTCACGTCAATGACATCCACTTGACGAGTCGATTCTGACAACAGAAAGGCACACCACATACACCAGCAAATGTAAAGAGTACAGTTTATTTCAACACAACGGACTCGTGGGCCTGCACAGAGGTATAGTGCAGACTCCCTGGCCCTGCTATCTTCAGTTGAGGCGATAACAAACTCTTCCAAAAGCCATAAAAAAAAACCTCAAACATCATAGCACATGCAACATCATAAACAAAGATCAGGGAACTTCCGGGCAGAGTGGAAGACATGTGGCTATCAACCGGTTCAAGTGTTCATGATAACCTGACAACATTGCCTGATGATCACCCATAAATATTAAACTACCTAGCTGAAACACGTTGGCTTAACTCACCAACATGCCTGGCAACGTCAGTTACTGCAAAGTCCGATGGAGGCACAAACAATCCTAGACCTTTCTTCTCCTTCACCATTATCGGGTGCTCAAAACCTTGCTTCTCAAGTTTGGCAACTGTGACGTCGGCACCCCTCATGTACTTCACTATGCCATCGGCACTGATGAGCACATGGAACAAGAAAGCAGGAGAAGAAAGAAATGCATGTGATGAACAGCGACAACATGGCCAGAGGTGCAACAGCATTGGTAATAGCAAGAGTACCGTGGAAGTCCGTAAATAAGTACGTACTTACTTAAAAGTTATTGTGAAAAGAAGAAGGACAAAATGTTACGAGTTATGACTAACTGTCCTCCAACGTAACCAGATCTTATACAGTCAGCGAGTGCGACAAAATGGCACAAAACTGACAAGGAGTACTGAGACATTCTTCTTTTCACAATTATTTAATTGGCTCACCATCCGAGTTACATTTTACTTAAGTTACTTTCGAATTTAGTGGCCACACCCGTATTAACTTTCGGGCGGGCACTGACTTTCGGGCACGACCTAACTTTCGGACCTGACTTGTGTGTAGAGGAGACGTCATTTTCATTTAGATTTACATGCTACACGGCACGCTGCATGTGCGCACCGTACCGGTCGCACCGTACCGCTACATATTTCGGGCAGTATCGGTACGTTTATCGGACTCGACTTGACTTCAACAGACAGAGTCAAAAGAATGAAGGGGGTGTTTATTGCGGGCATGTACTTATTTACGGACGTTTACGGTACACAAACAAGAGGGTGTAGTCCCGCGTCCGGCGCGTACATGGTATGGTCCAATGCGGAATTTTTTTGTTGACGTCACCTTTTTCAGAGCCTATGGCGCATATCTTTTGAAATAATAGTTCACACACTACATTCGTAGCGCGCGCTTTCAACAACCGTCACTTTTGCTCGCGTGCAAAGTACAACCGTGACTGACTGATTCGTGAGCACAAGGGCCCCGGCCAAGTTCAAAAATCAGTTGCACGCGTGCGTCCAAGTTTATTGTATACGAGTAAGAGAGGGTACGGTTATTCTGCGCCATGAATGATACAATGAACCATTGGGTTTGCATAGGAATACTACGCGATGGGGCAGCCACGCCGCCTTAGAAAATTACCCGGCCCCGGTACCAGAAGGAAACGCTACCCGACACAGACCTACTAGGTATGTACGGTCGTGGACGTGGAAATCCGGTCGAATGACTCGGGGGCCGCAGCCCTCAGTGCTTACAGAAGGTTGCATGCAGTGCACGTGTTGATCGTATGCGTACTCACGGCTGCACGGCCAGCGCCCTGGGGCCGCTTGACCTCCGACCGGATTTCCATGTCCACGACAGTATGATGCCACCGGCACGACAACGCTGATTTCCTGATTTATTCGGATCTTTGACCGGTCCTTGTGGAAAACCCAGTCTGACTGGGGGGTGGTCTCAGTGCGCACCGTGATATATGCAAAGGGTTAACGTGTCCAGTCACTGCTAGAGGATGTGCTACCTGTGTAGGGGTACTGCGTCCCCACTGCCAATGCCCAGTCCAGTCACTGCTGGAGGATGTGTTACTCATGTAGGGGTGCTGCGTCCACTGCCAATTCCCAGTCCAGTCACTCCTGGAGGATGTGTTACTCATGTAGGGGTGCTGCGTCCCCACTGCCAATGCCCAGTCCAGTCACTCTTGGAGGATGTGTTACTCATGTAGGGGTACTGCGTCCACTGCCAATGCCCAGTCCAGTCACTCTTGGAGGATGTGTTACTCATGTAGGGGTACTGCGTCCCCACTGCCAATGCCCAGTCCAGTCACTCCTGGAGGATGTGTTACTCAAGTAGGGGTACTGCGTCCCCACTGCCAATTCCCAGTCCAGTCACTCCTGGAGGATGTGTTACTCATGTAGGGGTACTGCGTCCCCACTGCCAATGCCCAGTCCAGTCACTCTTGGAGGATGTGCTGCCCATGTAGGGGTACTGTGACGTAGACTAGGCACTGGTAGCGGGGACACAGTGGTAAAGAGAAACAGTCACACCAGCAGTCTTTCAAACTGCAGAAAACACGTACTGTTGTACTGCTGTCAATATGCAGCCATGAATGAACAACAGTGGTGATACCTGTTCGAGAACTCACCTCTCAAACGGACGCTTCTTGAGCCATTTAACGAACGCAACAGTGCCCGCCTGGACAGCCTACACACATGCACGGACACATGCACGGAAACATGCACACACACACCATTGGACGCCCATCGCCGGAGGCGATGATAGCGATGCTACAGCAGAAGCCATAGCAACTTGTGCTGGGATTGCACCATTCAACAGCTTGCAAGGCTGCAGAATTGGCCGCCACTATTCAGCCTGGTCTACACCACACAGCTATGAAGTGGCTTTTTCTGGCCAGTGAATCCCTACACACACACACACACACACACACACACACACACACACACACACACACACACACACACACACACACACACACACACACACACACACACACACACACACACACACACACACACACACACACACACACACACACACACACACACACACACACACACACACACACACACACACACACACACACACACACACACACACACACACACACACACACACACACACACACACACACACACACACACACACACACACACACACACACACACACACACACACACACACACACACACACACACACACACACACACACACACACACACACACACACACACACACACACACACACACACACACACACACACACACACACTGATGCACACACTGATGCACACACTGATGCACACACTGATGCACACACTGATGCACACACTGATGCACACACTGATGCACACACTGATGCACACACTGATGCACACACTGATGCACACACTGATGCACACACTGATGCACACACTGATGCACACACTGATGCACACACTGATGCACACACTGATGCACACACTGATGCACACACTGATGCACACACTGATGCACACACTGATGCACACACTGATGCACACACTGATGCACACACTGATGCACACACTGATGCACACACTGATGCACACACTGATGCACACACTGATGCACACACTGATGCACACACTGATGCACACACTGATGCACACACACACACTGATGCACACACACACACTGATGCACACACACACACTGATGCACACACACACACTGATGCACACACACACACTGATGCACACACACACACTGATGCACACACTGATGCACACACTGATGCACACACTGATGCACACACTGATGCACACACTGATGCACACACTGATGCACACACTGATGCACACACTGATGCACACACTGATGCACACACTGATGCACACACTGATGCACACACTGATGCACACACTGATGCACACACTGATGCACACACTGATGCACACACTGATGCACACACTGATGCACACACTGATGCACACACTGATGCACACACTGATGCACACACTGATGCACACACACACACACTGATGCACACACACACTGATGCACACACACACACACACACACACACACACACACACACACACACACACACACACACACACACACACACACACACACACACACACACACACACACACACACACACACACACACACACACACACACACACACACACACACACACACACACACACACACACACACACACACACACACACACACACACACACACACACACACACACACACACACACACACACACACACACACACACACACACACACACACACACACACACACACACACACACACACACACACACACACACACACACACACACACACACACACACACACACACACACACACACACACACACACACACACACACACACACACACACACACACACACACACACACACACACACACACACACACACACACACACACACACACACTGATGCACACACACACAAACATTCCAATACCGCAGACATAACTACTCGCAACACTTACTCCAGATATTGTATACAGTTTACCAGCAAAGTATAAACGAAACGCAACACGCAATATAAAATACCCATGCAAATATGGTCGATGGCAAAACACTCTAGCATCAGCAGCAGCATCAGCAGCAGCATCAGCAGCAGTGGCAAGGGTACGGAGTTACCAGTACCTTGTTCTCAGCACCATCCTCCGAAAAGGCATGCCTGTGATTGTTGCGTCTGGGCTTATCTGCACAGGACAAATACAGAGAGAAAAAACAGGAACAGATCATCGTGAGAATGTGCTTTCCATGTCCCGTCACAGGTCCTGGAAGACGCACATAACGTTGCAGAACGTTGGCAATGGGATGCCGTGTACTTGCTATGTTTGCGTGCCCTTACAGCACACAGGCAGCCACCGATTCTCAAAGAACTGTGGACAAGCTGCAGTGGGATATTCATGTTGGGCGAGTTTTTCTTCTTCCAAGGATGGTTCAGTTGTGAGAACCTTTTTTCCTGAATACATGTATACCACTCAATACCAGTTACCAGTGATCTGGGTCAGGTGTGGTTTAGCTTGCTTGTTTCTGCCATGTGACATTCTCAGATGCTTACTCCGTTTTCTGGGGCGTGGGAGGTCTTACGATTGCACAGCCATCCCAACAAGCAACACTAAGATACATTATTGGTTCGCTGTACAGAAGATCAAGAGTGGCAACCGTGCACCGGGAGTTACATTGGCTGCATGCAGGGTGGGCACTGATTTCAGGTCATCGAATCGAAAGGGCATCGTACTTCTTTACACTACGTGTGCTTATGTGTTGCATTGGGGCAACGCCAGTCGATAACCAGCTGATGGCCAGTCAACAGGGCTGGCTTTACCACCGGACCCAACAAGCCCACCTCTGTCTCTGTCTCTGTATCTCTCTCTCTACTTCAATTCAACCTGGGTTCAAGCCGAGTGTACTGCAGTAAAATGGTGGTGATGGGGCTATATAGCAACAAGGCACATACCATGGTCTCTGTGAAGGTGACAGTAAAATGATATTCAGACGGAATTTTTTTCTAATCCGTATATTTTCAATCCCGTAAGGGGCCTTCCGTAAATACCGATATTTATTTAGAAACGAAAACTAGTCCTTTCTCTTCAACCCCCCTCCCTGAGAAACGAACACATACACATGGTACATAGTATCGATATTTTTGGTCTTTTTTCTGGACATGCTCACGCATGCCAAATGTACATCGATATTTTTTGAGAAACGAACAGGCGCTAAACCCCCTCCCCCCTAAACGACTAGTTTTCGTTTCTAAATAAATATCTATATTTACGGATGGCCCCTAAGTATAAAAGAGGAAAGAATCATCGCTCATTGCCTCGCCGCTTGATGACAGGTGCATGATTGGTGGAAATTGCTCCTCATACAAGTACTTCTTTGCCTGCGTAGCCGAGATCTGGCCCAAGAGGGACCCTATCAATCATTGCTGGGCCATCAGTCTGCAGTGCAAACAAAGTGCTACGCTGTGTGAAGCTTGGCATAAATGCCTGCATGTCTGGTCACACTTTGAATGAAAAGGAACCCAATCACCGGTGTACCGCTGAGTAGAGTGACTCGAAACAACAAATTAATTCAGGGTGGCCAAATAGGGCTTGAAAGTGATGACGTCAAAAACGGCCAGGGAGTAGTAAGTTGACATCAAATTTCTATTTTGGATCCACTAAGGTGTGACTTTGCTATTAGGGAGGTTTCGCTCTACGGAATTACGTATGAAAATAACGTATGAACTGCACGGAATTTTCATACGTAAAAATCAGAGCTGTTGGGTTTCGCTCTACGTGATTTCTCCATGACTGCTAAACATGCGTTGTTGCTTTGGAGACGCGTTGGCTGCATGCGCCCACCGCATGCACCATGAACCGAAACCGCGTTTTCCATTATATTTTGCACGTGGTGTACGGTGTGTGTACCTTGTGTTTCGCGCGGCTTGAATGTTGCCATGGACAAATGCGGAAAATATTTCAAAAAGTCCTACGGAGGATCCAACGTAGGAAAGAGCTTTCCTACGGAAATCCGTAGAGAGATTTACGTATGAAAGTTGCCCTCGCTCCCCGGCGCGTACGACATACGGATTTTCATACGTAATTACGTAGAGCGAAACCTCCCTATTGCCTCAGTATGTGGGTGCATAGCAACCCACTCATGCCGTATGCATGTGTGACTTTTACTTCGCCACCAGGTGTCACCCTGCCCCTATTAGCCAAATCAGTCAGTTTCACTGGCTACATCACTTTGCTGTGAGTAAGACCGCTTGAAATGTGCTTGGATCCATACAAAAACTGGATCCAAGTGGATCCAGTTTTTGAATTTTTGAAATTGTTGCTATGCTGTGACGTAGACCTTTCAAGCCCTATTGTGTTTAAAGGGGAAGATAAGGCAAAAATTAAAATTTCACCAGTTGTAGTCTTCGGGGTGCTGAGTCGAATGGTCGTGGTCCGAGGAAGCTGAGACACTCCCTTCCTACTTGAATCCCAATCGAACTCGCGCACTTCCACCGAAACTGGGTGACTGCGCCCTACTAGATGGGGATTTGTATGCAAAATGTCACTAAAAGCGCCATTTCGTTCTTATAAAAGCACGGATGACCGCGATTGGCCCATATGTTGTAGTCTTTTGGACGCTGAGTCGATTGGTTTTGGTCCGAAAAGGCTGCAATGCAGCGTTCCTCCTTTATTCCCAATCGAACATGGTTGAACAAGCGGTCACGTGCTCCTGCGTACACCAGTCACCTGGTCACTGTGCCTGCAGGGTACAACTTACTAGCCTGTTTGACCTTTTTTGGGTGCAGTCCTGTCACTCGAGTTGAACCTTGGTGTGAAAGTTGTCGCCTGCTGGCGTGGTGACCAGGTGATTTGGGCACCCAGGAGCACGTGACCGCTTGTTCAACCATGTTCGATTGGGAATAAAGGAGGAACGCTGCATCGCAGCCTTTTCGGACCAAAACCAGTCGACTCAGCGTCCAAAAGAGTACAACATATGGGCCAATCGCGGTCATCCGTGCTTTTATAAGAACGAAATGGCGCTTTTAGTGACATGTTTCATACAAATCCCCATCTAGTAGGGCGCAGTCACCCAGTTTCGGTGGAAGTGCGCGAGTTCGATTGGGATTCAAGTAGGTAGGGAGCGTCTCAGCTTCATCGGACCACGACCATTCGACTCAGCACCCCGAAGACTACAACTGGTGAAATTTTAATTTTTGCCTTAACTTCCCCTTTAAATTTTCCTGTTGAACCATACTCCATAGTACTGTACTAGTATACACAGCACTGCACATAGAACACATCATGCATATTAGTATTAGCCATGCATCGCTCCACTACCGACAGATCATCAGATCAAGCTCAGGCAGCGAAGGTTGCACCTGCAGCAGTACAATGTACGCACGTAGATCTACGTCACTTGTACATGTGGCCCTTGTGGGTGGATCAGCGGTACTGTACAGTAGTTGTGAAAAAATAATGATGAAAAAGAAAATTGTAGAACTCACAGACAGTCGATCCATGGGCTTTGGTGCAGCTTGGGCAGTGAAACTTGTCAATATCATCGCCTTCGGTCTCCGAAATGGACACACAGCTGTTAGGCACGATCGGAAAACATCAGGTTTGAAGGCGCGAACAAATTTGGCTTCAGATTATACAGAGACGAAAATTTGAACGCCTAGATCACTGCTTACTCACCTTCCATGGAACCAATCCTCGCAAACGTCACACTCTATCATAAACACGCCCTCTCGATATTTCTTCCGACAGATGCAGTAGAGCGCCTCATTGTCCTGATTAGCTGCTTTTTTCGCCATCCTCTGGAAAGAAACCTGCACCTTTTCAAATTATTCGTCTGATTTTCGTTGGCGTACAACATCAATGCAAAGGGGGTAAACTCCACAAAGAGAACAAGAAACGCGAGACTGCTACGAGAAGTGAAGATGAACAAAGCAAGTCTTCCGAATACGAGGGACAGGGCGAGGATGATCTCTGCTGAAAGACTTTAGGAGCCCTGCCTAAACCTGACTTGGCGAGCACCTATTCTCTCCGTTCAGACCGCAGCTGCCTTTTGTTACTTGGATTTGGAAGCTGGAAGGTTGAAAGATTTGAAAATTCTAGAATGACGTAGTACACAAAATCATAATCAGTCAATCAGACTCAGAGCATGCCTGTATAATACTCGAACTCGTGCAGCTATGACAGTATGAGTATGACAAAAATTACTTTGATTTTCAATTTTTCAACTCTTCGCTCATGTGGTGAGCTCATGAGGGCCATGTATGGGTTTTGTGCTTAGGTCTGCTTGAAGAAGCACAGGAGGATGCAGACATGTAGGACGACTGACGAGGAAGTAAAGCAACAATAAAGTACACTTCTATAGTTCGTAGATGTTGAATCTAGAAACTGTAGATATATGTCCCACGTGAGATATCAGAAGTTCAGTCCGTAATATGACATTGTCATGGTTCCTAATTTCCACAAATTCACAGTTTCTATTACAACCAATCTTCTTGTTTCACACCTACTAGTATAGAATTATTAGGGCAGGTCGGTAATCCCTGAGCAATATGGCAGAGGACAAGTTGTTTGTCAGTGTCTCGTGTGTCATCGCTTCTTTCAATCGGCAGGATGACTCAAAGCCAGCACTGTCTCCGTTCATGATCAGTGCAATGGACTGTGATCTTTTCAAACCTGAGATCAGCATCGATGACATGCTGTTCTATCGTCAAAATGCCAGGCTCTTCAAGGAAATGTGGGAACACCATCAGGTAGGAACTTTCCTAGCTAGACTATAAGGGCACCCTGTCAGAAGACCTTAGGCCCTAAACGGTCTGCTGGGAATGCCCAAGTAAATAATGAAATACAATACAAAAAAATACTAGTAAGCTAGAGTAATGCGTGCGGCTATATTCATACATACTATACCGGTACAGAACAACAAGGACAATCAAGGCACACTGGGTACATCCTACTGTAGATTGTACTATACCGGTACATGTATGCACGCATCATGATGTGATGCCATATATAGTATCACATTGGTATGCACATGGTTGCACGCACACGTTCACTCGCGGACACACGCGTGCGTGCACGTGTGCACATTTTCAAATACAGTATAGTCACGTATGCCCGTCGCTGAAGCGCTGATAGCGAACAAGTTACATGTATGTTAAACATAGCAACTAACTTGTGTTGGGGGTTACACCACCCAACAGCATGCATCCCCCTTCCTTTTGACATATGCACTCACCACACTACATACTCCGGCATAAACTTGCCGTTGATAACCAGTAACTTACTGATCACCCAGGACAGAGCTCCCAACCAACTGAGTCTGTTTTGCGTACTGCGACTTCTGATTTTCCGTGTTTTGCTTTTGCAGTGTTTTGCGTACTGCCAATGTGCTGCCGTGAGCATTGCTTGCATTGTGTTTTTGGCACTCACATGCTTGTCAGTGGCAGGATTTGCTAGTGCAAAACATGTGTGACTTGTACCGCATGCTTTTTTCTGTGCTACATGAAGTCGAAGCACGGCATGCCCTCGCTTTGGCACTGGGATATTTACCGCTCAGCTTGCGCTTGCCATGCTTCTACATACATAACTGAAGCTGATCGAACCTCTTCACTTTTCCGTACCATTTTTGCTCTAATTCCGTAGTGTGGACGAAGGAATGATTTTCCGTACAAATCAGAATACCCATTGGCAACCTCTGTAATTCTTAGGCACATACGAGTTGTGCATGACTGTGCATGTGTGTATGTGTGTGTGTGTGCGTGCGCGCGTGTGTGTGTGTGTGCGTGTGTGTGTGTGTGCACGCGGACGCGTATGTGTCTTGTTGTTTTTTTGCTTCTCAGAGAGGACTATTCTGGCTTCATTTTGCTTCTTCCTTTTTCTACCACACCGTCATTGCGACGAGAGAACCTCCGCCGGAGTGCCTGCCTTTGCCTGAAAGAGGAGAGTCGGACTCTGTAAACCAAGTACGTGCATGTGTGTGCATGGCTTCATGATTTGTTTTTTGTTGTAAATTTTGCAATATTTTTTTCGGCCCAAATGTTCACGAGTACGCTCATACCTCGTTTATCCGGGCTGTCCAGGACCGGGTACTGCCCGCTTTGAAACGTCCCTAACTCTGAATCACATGCGTTTTGATGGGGAAAGACCAGAGGTATGGCATGGGATGTCTCGTCTACAGTAAAATCCCCTGACCCGGACGCCACCAATCCGGGCGTGTCCATCTGCCGGACACCTTTCTGACCCATCTCGAGTCACAAAAATTGGACTTTTCAACGAAAACTGCCCCAAAAACTATTGATTGACGTAAAACATGTTTACTTGCATGCAAGTACCAGTATGTTCTGAGTTACCGGCCATTCCTAGTTGCGGGCAGTGCTCTGTCCCCACCTGGCTGGATTAGGCCTTAGGGTTGGTTCACATATCGCCGGTACACGCCGGGAGTCACCGGCGGTGGGCTTCTTGCAACCTCTCCCGGCGCATTGCGATTGTGTGAACCAGTGCAGTCGTAACAAAATCATACGGTAAAATATCGCAAGGGACCGCCGGCAAAGTTGGACAGTGCCCAACTCTTGTGATCTGCCCCGGCGCCGATCCCGTACAATTTTGACCAAAAGTGGTTTGTGAACCATTCGCGCCGGTGATCGCCGGGAGCCAGACTTTGTCAAAATATCAAACCAATACTTGTCCTAAATTGAAGCTAGAGAGGAGGTCCGTTCGCCATTCTTGTAGTCGCGTCAAGGTGGCAAATAAGTCAGCATACCAGCCCATCCTTCTCGGATGATCTGCTTGACCATTGTGCAACTTATGAGACAAATACAATTGAAACAAATAAAAATATGATGGATACATTGGCAAGTTCTTGTGACTTCATCAACGTTTGCAAGCATAATTTCGGCACAATCGCTTACTAGACTGCAATAAAATGTGTAGAAGTAGTTTCATGATCTCCAGTAAAAGGTAGCACCGAGTGGCCATCACCGAAAGACTACTGAAGAAACAAAGAATTCAAGCTTCAATTGGCAAACCTGTCGTAGCATTTGAGCACATTCTGTACTACTTTGTAGTAGATTTGGTACTCGAACCGTATGCGCAACGGATCGGGAGCTGGCTCACCGCCGATATCTTGCGATGTCTTGCGGCGCCGATTTTGCTTATGTGAACCAACCCTTAGGGGAGTTTTACTGTATTCCCCCTAAAACTCACCCAACTGTTTCACAACATGACCATGTGTGCTTGTACTTGTGCTATGCTGTGCTCCCGGTAGCTTCTTCTTGTCTCTATTTTTTATTTTTGCAATGAAAACAAATGTCATGCTGTTGCGAGTATGCTTACTTTCAAGTTAGCCCCCTGTTTCATCTCCCTCCCCCCCCCCCCCGACACACACTTCACACTCTACCACCACAATGACTGTATGTACTATCCCCACCCTATTCCATCATCATCCCTCCACTCCACTCCCAACCCGCACCATTGCAATGTACTAGTAGGTCTAGCCCTGTTCTCATGTGCACTGCATGTCTTGCTGCTGATCTTCCTTCTGTTTGCAGATAGATCTGAAGAAGATGAGAAGAGAAGCACTGGAGCGGTTCGTGTCACGCTTGATTGCGCTATTTGCTGGTAAGATGCACACCAGGCATCGCAAGGTTTTGCTTTACACATGCAACACCAGCCTGGGTAGCTTTAGTAGCATTACAGCAAAACAGCAAGACAGTGACGTTCATGGGTTCCCTTGTCGTGTACAGGCCTAGCTTGAGAGTCTGATTCCATCTGATGGAAATTGGATAGAGTTAGGGTCTTTCTATGCCTCTCCACCGTTATTGATCGGCCGGCAGCATGTTACAAGGCGGAGGACGCACTCTGCTGGAACAGTGCTCCTGACTACAGCCATCATCGGCTGGCAGAGCCCCGGTCTTGCGACCATTTGAACTGTGTCGCCTTGTAAGGGAGCATCTCATAAGTTCGCATTTTGTTTCTGTACGTAACGCATTTCGAAACGGGGGTAGGGGGGTAGCGCCCTTTTCGAATAGAAAAATGACTGTTCGCACATTTTCTGGAACTGTACAATCTACAGTCTGTACTACCGTGCTAGATCCCTGCAGCAAATGAGTGGTGGATATCTACCTGTGTTTGCAGATCAGCTAACCCTTGCACTGCATGCATGCAGGCTACTCAGAGGTGTCAAATGTCACACCAGCCTGATCAAACCGTGTACATGTACCTGGCCAGCGTTTACAGCAGTACAGTTGTTGTGGAGGAACTATGTTTATGTGCGTGTACATGTCATTGATTGTACTTGTACTCAGTAAACGTGGTACTGCCATTCACGACCGCTCTAGCAAAACATTCATATCCATGTACATGTAGAGGGGACGGCTCGATACCGGGACGTTTTGACAGCCAAATTTGTATAGACCCAAACCGATCATCAGCGTTGACTTTTCACTCGAAATATGTTTGTGGAAGGAAACTGGCATGTTGAAGTTTGCTCTGGGGCCAGAGTCAATCGAACTGAGCCACTCCTTTGTGTTGACCCATTGCCTCCAAGTTGCCCAATTTTTCGCTTCAAAAAAGTTCAAATCAGAGGTGGCTCCAAACCGGACACGTTTTAGAGTGCACGTCAAATTCACTCTGGGTCTGAAATTAGGTAATTGCTATCGCTCCACGACGGCCAGTACAGAGTAACAATAAGCCTTGTGTGTGCTTCCATTAGTTTTGATTGGTATGCGGTGCTTTATTGGCGAGAGGCGAGCCGCTGTTTACCTGCGACAAGAAGTTGATTTTTCGAAAGTCGTAAAACTCAAGTCGCAGTGCGAAGCAACACGTCGAAAACTCACCTGCTTGATATGGTGCTTCTGGTCATCGCAGAGCCATGAAATTTTGGCTCGGAGTATAACACATCGTAGTCTCACTGTGACATATGTTTTCTAATCAAAATACCAAGAGAGAAAGTGAATATTGAGCCCGTTCCGGTTTGCAACCGGTGTCCTATTTGAAGCCGTCCCCTCTACATATACAATCATGTACATAAGTATACCATAGCATGGGGCATGCCGGACGTGTACAGTAGATAAACACAGAAAATGTGCGATAAGACTTTCGAATAGAGGGGGGAGGTAGGGGGGTAAAGTCTATTCGAAATGCGTTACGTTTGCAAAATAAATGCGAACTTATGAGATGCTCCCTAACATGTTGTCAACCGATCAACAAGTTGTCTATCAAGCAAGGCTGACATGTTAATGGCTGTGGTTGTTCAACTCCGATTTCTCCCGAATTTCATTCCACCCACTACCAGTATAGATTAGTATGAGCTTGTAGTTGTTCCTCTAAATAACTACCGTGGATTGTGGTATGAAAGAAAAAGTTAGAAAACCTTCGTGACTGCCTGCCGATCACCGCCAGCACCATACCACTGTGCTTATGGTGCCATTTGCGTTTGCTGTTGCTGCTACCGCTGCTGCTCTGTGTGTGTGTGTGTGCGTGCGTGCGTGTGTGTGCGCGCGCGTTTGTGTACATGTGTGGGTGTGTGCGTTTGTGTACGTGTGTTGGTGTATGCGTGTTCATTTGTTTACGTGTGCTTTTTGCATGCACTAGCACCGGAAAAGAATTTCAGTGAGGTACGCACACTGATGAAGGACTGCTGCACACTGCGCGAGTATGACTTCATGGTGAAGGACATCCTGCATCACCGTTGTGAGTGCTCCTGCCCTGCCCTGCCCTCCCTATCCTTCGCTTTCCATAATATATTGCAATCGCCACGGAAAGTGGTCATTGGCTACCCCAGCCATGTATTGCTTGGAATAAAATAATAAATAATAATAAAACCAGTAGATACTAGCACAAGGCAGAACAACAGACAGTTTTTGGTGTCTGTTGTTCTGCCTTGTGTAGTACACTCTGCCCTTGTTAGGGTATTGAGCACTATTTGCAGCAAGGACTTCAGACACTTTGTCCACCAGTAGATACTAGCATAGATACTAATTCGAAGTAGCAGTACTGTACATGTTGCCGTGGGAACAATTACAATGGGCTTGCCAGACTGGTATACTAGTAGTACAATTTGTAGTACTCTGCTCTCGACCTGCCCCACGGTTTCATGTTCTTCTTTATCTATCTTGCGCGCGTACGCGCGCGCGCACACACACACACACACACACACACACCTGTACTTGCTCGCTGCCAGAAACTGGTTACATTGTATGTTGGAAAGCAAAGGAAAGCAAAGGAAAGCTAAGGAAAGCTAAGGAACAAAAGTTACAAAAATACACATCTAAGCAGTCAAGCCGAGCCTGATAGTAACATTGCACCTGCCAACCAAACTAGCTGGCACACACGCGCACTTGCGCGCGTATACACACCACACGAACACGCGCATGTACGCACGCCCGCGTTTGCATTCACTCACACGAATATTCACTAACACACTTTTTCGGAGAGAAAAGAGCAGTACGTCGCATGTGGCCTCTAATTTCCTACTTGTAATACTTTGAAATTCTCCGTGAAGTCCAAATTTGAAATTGAACACTCTTTCTTTCTTTCTTTCTTTTTTCTCTCTCCTCTCTCTCTCTCTCCTCTCTCTCTTTACTAGAGTGTGTACTCTTTAGTTTGTATGTGTGCTATATCATGTGCTTTTGTGCAGCAAGGGATCCATTCTATCACAAGTCCACTCGGTATGTAGATTTCTTCTCAGCGATCCCGGCCCTGGGCTTTTTGAGACTCCAACTTGACACTATGATCTGCTACTCCTGTGCAAACTGGTTACGTTAAGACTCATATCATAGAGTGTGCAGCTTGCGTTTGGGGATCTGTTGCGGCCAGATTCCTGGATTACATCATGGTTGACGTACAGTGTAGATTAGCAACACAAGGCGGTACAGTGTGCTGAACTGAGCTGTCGCTATGCAGCATGCAGTAGCAGCAGCAGACCTGCTTGAATCTCGCCTCTACACCATGTATCAAGGACACTACATGTACCGGCAGGACAACAATATGCTCGGGAAGTTTTGCCCCAATAGCTTTCCACGCCCACTTCACACTCTGGCTTCAATTTACGGGTTGTCGCATGTGTGGAATGCCCGTTGTGCAGTGTGTGCTGCATCCAGTAACTCCCCGAACGTGGTTGGGGACACTTCTCAGCACTTGTTCATCAGTGCATGATGTCGTCTGAACTTTCTGAACTATGATTTTTAGACAAATCCCACCCTCCCGAAATCAGCTACAGGTACGTGCACTTCTCGGGATAACAGTTTCCGTTTGAACTGCGTAGTTGAGTGCCACCTCTGGGTTTTGAGTCTATCGTTGTGCATCTGCAAGTGAGCTGTGTGTGTGTGTGTGCGTGTTCTTGTGCGCGTATGCTACGTTCTGCGTTTCACAGGGATGTCTATCGTCGTCTTTATGGAGCTCCTGGCATATCCTCAGCTATAGATGTAAGCCTCACGCTGCATGCGTCTTGTAGTTGTGGGATCATGTATAGCATTAGGCGGGATTCGCGGAAGCATTTTTGCGATGCGATGCTTGATGCCGACGGCTGCGAAACCGGGAAATCCTCCAAACCCCGTCCATTGCGCAGCTCACGCAACTGTCGCAACTGGCCCATCGCAGAAGTTGAGCTTGGCTCATCTTTCGCGATGCGACATGCGATGCGATGTATGATTTTGACTTTCTTTGCAGCAAAGTTGTGCGAGAGTTCAAGAGCTGCTTGTAGATTTGTAGGAGTTGTACCCGGCTATGTGAATGCCATGGTAACCTACTTGTACTCACCTGCATTTAGCTTTGATCCATAACAGCAAGGCAATGTCGCACCGCTGACTTCTGTGAATGGTATTTCCCGAGTTTGCATCGCGCTGCGCCGTTGCAGATCACGTCGCATCACAAAAAAAACTTGAAAAATTCTTCTGTGAATCCCACGTAACATTGACCACCCCTTTCAGGGGATCTAGGGATATCTCTCCTCTTTGGAGGGGATTGTGAGTACACAATCGCCTCAAATGAGGGAGACGATCCAAGGGAAATTATGTGTGTTCTGTGTGTGTGTGTGTGTGTTTGTATGTATCTATGTATGTATGTGTGTGTGTGTGTGTGTGTGCGTGCGTGCGTGCATGCGTGTGGGTGCACGTCCGTGCATGTGGGTGCTTGCATGCATGCCTGGCTGCTTTTCTTCTCGTGTCTGGTACTAGGGCACGATGATGTATCCGTACTACGCTGCGTTCGCCGGAGCCATGGTCCTGTTGCTGCGCCAATGGCTGTCGTTATCGCGCACGGACATCATCTCGCCACTTCATGGTGCATGCCTGGTACCAGGCGACATTCGCGGCATGTGCCTGGTAGCTCTGCTGCTCAATAAGGAAGCGGCACTCAAGGACGGCAGTGCAAAAGTAGAACACCTTGAAGCCATCATTTGCCAACACCTCCTCGTGGACCGCAGTCCCCCCGCCGCAGGCATTGACCTACCCGAGAACGCTGCGCAGATTAGCGCCATAGTCGAAGAAGCTCTGTCCCCGGTACCGCTCCCGACAGGTACTAGGAGCCGTCTGCCCAGGGCTGTAGCCGGTATCTGTCCGTCAACCAAGTGCCGAGTGTGCCAGGACAAGAGAACGCTGTGCACCCAAGTGGTCGGTATGCGTGCTGGCTATGACCCGTTGAAGCGCTTTGCATGTGGACTTACCCGAGCGGAGCAATTCAGCTGTGACGGCAATTGCTACGACTTTGGGTACCGTGCAAGCCAGCTTGTAGCTTTCTTTCATGGATTTGAAACAAACTCTTTTGCTGATAACTTCATTTTCAGAACCAAGTCATTGCTAGTACAAACAAAGCCATGCAACAACTACTCTGTAGAGGTGCAGATGTGCGACTTGTTCCAGCTCCATAGACTATTACAGATCCAAGTGGCCACCTTTACGGACTGGGACGCTCTGACTGACGTCCGTCCCTACATCAAACGTGTCTGGCAGCTGACACAGGCGTTCTGCGAGCTCACGTGCGATTCGCTGTGCCTTGTTGAGGCGCAAATGGAAGCTTTCTGCCGGGCGTGTGATGAAATTAGCTTGTTGGGGTCCAAAGACAGACTCGAAGGGCCTGACGAGTACTCTACATTTAGGCACTTTCTGTCCAGCATCCCGACGGCTATTTTAGGTGCAGTTCACGTCAAACTGTTCGCACGGACTTCAATCATTCCTCAGTGGAGTACAACTCTGTCGATTCCAGTTTTGAGTATGGTGCTGGAGCACCACAAGCCCATTCTAGAGTCTGCTAGCAAGTCTGCGTACTGGATGGAGGACACAGCGAGCAGCACCAAGCTCCGTCAGTCATGCTGCGCCATTGCTGCTGTTCTCAAGCATACCGTGTCGGAGGTGTTAGACTTGCTGCCGCTGGCGTATCGCATGGTCGCCATCTTGCAAACCACCGGCATGCTCCTTGCCCAGAGTGAATCTGCCGTGGCCGATATTGCGCTGATCAAGGAAGCCAGCCAGCTGTCAGAGCGGGAACTTGCACCTAAGATCCTTGAACAGCCAGAGGAGAGCGCCATCGCACAGACTATGACGGCACTGGCCGGTGTGATGCACCAAGTGCACAAGTACAACCAGCAGCTCGCGGCAAGCACAGATACTGCTGCTGCTGCTGCACAGGCCAACTCCAACCCTACTGGCGCATCACAGGACACAGTAGCATCAACAGAATCAGCACCGTCGGAATCAGCAGCAACGGTAATAACGTCTGGGCATGTTGCTTTCACGATGCACACATGCAGTTCTCATGAGCAGCATGAGAAACACCTGGCACAACGACTTGCCCAACAGTGTAACCATGAAGAGAGACGGCAGTCTGCTAAGCAGAAAATTGAGTCTTACGGTACGACACCCGACATCCTCCTACGTGCCTCCCAACATGCCAACAAAGGTAGCAAGACGAGGACATTCGATCTGCAGCTGAAAACAGAAAAGGGCAAGTGCAAGTGTTGTGTTTCTGCTATTAGGTGATAGCCATTGCTTAGTTTGTAATGTTGCAATGTTGTACTTTTGCTTGATGGAAGTAATTTAACGATATCAATAGTCTCCACATCCGGAGCCGTCTCTTTGACCTCATACTCATAGGTATCATGCCTCGTTTTCCCCTCCCTCCCCCACACACACACCCCACCCAAAGAAAAGGCCCATGAGTTGCACTTCAGCTGCATTCGATTGTGGAAACTGGATCCCGATCCCCGCAGACCAGATCACTTCGATCGGACGGATACAATAGTCCTTATGCACGTTGTACAGATGTACGAAGTTCTGTACTAGGGCCGTAGGTGTGTACATACCCGGTTGGGTGTTCATTGTGTGATATACATGCGCGTTTGACCCAGTTAGCCTCATAATTCATGGCAAACAATCGCTTTTCAAGCTTCTTCACTTTGGGATTGAACTAATGGCTAGCTGGATCTCTGCCAGAAAAAGGTTTTCGTATGAAATGCCTTCAGGGCCCATTTCATAGTGGGAATAGCAGGAAACACGATAGGGTCCTGCGCATTCAACACCCAACCGGGTCTACGGGATTATACGAGATTCTACGGGATTTCGTGCATCTGTACGACGTGCATAAGGCCTATCGAATGGGCACATATATCCGTTTCATGACCTTAGCAACCATGTTGCTGCAGCTCATCTCGTGCTATTTCGTGGTACTGTAAAACATGTAATTTTAGGTGTGTTAAAATTTCGGTATCAGGGACCTGCCAAGTTTCCGGTGTGACGTAGGTGACCAGCTTTCCCTTCACATACTGTGCATGCTCTAGTGTCTTTTAGGTGTGATTTAAACGAAATCACCGAAATTAAAGGTACACCAAAAATATCGTGTTTTACAGTATCTGTACGCATTATGGTGAACTCTTGACCTAGTGTACGCATATTTGGAGTTTTCAGTAGATACCATGCAAAAAAATTTCGGGGGTAACGGCCTCTTTTGGGGGCAAAATAAAGTCATGTAGACATGAAAAAAATTGAGATACCATGAAAGGTAAAATAGAATTTTATTCAAGTACAATTCATTGGGAAACTCCAAGAAATTCCATGCAAATGAATCCGTCAAATCCGGCTCTGTGAGGTGGGTTGACTGGATCCGACTCCGTGGGACCGGGATTCGGATTCGTACAATCGAACGTGTACGAATTTGGCGAATCAGGATCCGGGGCCCACGGATTCGCACAATCGAACATACCCTTAGAGATTCGTCGTATCCGTGAAGCTATGTTTATTCGTGATAGGCGTCGGTCTGTGAACAGGGACTGTGGAGGCTTCTGTACAAGGTGTGAAACTGTTACTCTTGTGATTGTACAGTGTTTGTGTCAGTGCTTGGGCTGACTGTATGTGTTGCGTTGTCCCCAGCATGTGCAAGCCTGTTTGTGTCAGTGCTTGGTCTGACTGTATGTGTTGCGTTGTCCCCAACATGTGCAAGCCTGTTTGTGTCAGTGCTTGGTCTGACTGTAGGTGTTGCGTTGTGCCCAACATGTGCAAGCCTGTTTGTGTCAGTGCTTGGTCCGCAGGCTGCATGTAGGTGTTGGTGTATTCTACACAGTCATGTACATGTAGTTCTGTGGCCATGACTTGTTGTAACTGTAGCTAGACAATGTATCACTCTGCCTTCACATATGTCCACTGAGATTCTATTGAAGCCCCCACATACACACACACCCGCACGAACACACCTTACCGCTGAGACATACACCACCTACACTTACCTCCTTCCTATTCTTTGCCTAACATATTCACAGCAATATGTTAACTTTTTCAGTGTCATTAGTTGTTGCCTTCATACATGTAGTTCAATAAGCACCTATGCAATGGATATTTTGTCATTTATTATCCTGATGATGGGCCCGGCCCGAAAATTTGGTGTATTTGGAACAAACCGCGAGGGGACAACAATTTGATAACCGCAATCAGTAATACCAGCTGGATCGACATTTGTGTACACTTTATTTATGTATTAAATCTTAATTTTAATTATTTGAATGGCAGTGAAGAGACCGTTTTTGGAGTTGAGAAGTGAAGTTTTCTAAATGTGTAAGTGGCTGCATTGGAGTTTGCGGACAATTAGGAAAGTTTACCCTTAGAGATTATTGAAAAAATTATATCAATTACCGTAAACCGTGAAATTATTGCGATGGTCTAATTTCTGCGAAATTCGCGACCGCGTGGAAATCGCGAAATTTAGACAGCGCGAAAAGGAGATCCATAAAAGGTTTAGCATGAATGCCACAGTAGCAAATTCTGCAATCGCAAAATTAAAACCTCGCAAACCTGTCCGGATTCTGAAAACGCGAACTAAAAACGCCGCGAAAATTTCACGCTTTACAGTACCGTAAAATGCCGTTGATTCGCACCTTCTCTAATTTCCGTCTCCTGTCGAATTTGTGTCTGTGAGGCGATTTCGGCGTATACACCGAGATATGTTTTTGAATCAACGCATGCACTGCTGTACACTAGTACGTGCCAGTGCACGGTGCAAATGTGCACAATCCAGCATGCCAAGTCCGGTCTTCTGCTTTGTTGTATGTTGCACTGCACTTGACCGACTTGATCGTATTCCCGCCCCGTTGGGAAGCAACGGGGGAGGGGGAGCAACGGTACTTTACGGTTCTTCCATCTAATCTTGCCCTGCGTACCATGTTGAATATGAGTGCAGGTTGAGTAGTGATAGTTAAAGCCCTTATAGCCTTGAGGTCTACCGGCAACTATCGGCCGCTGCGTAGTGATTTTAATTCTCTTTCTTTTCCTTCTTTCTTCTTCTCTTGGTCGTTTTATCGTGCAATTGCAGATGCCGCTGGCGTTACCCAGTCACCCGGGTCTGACAGCAGGACAGGTGAGCATGCAACTTCTAGTGACACGGCAACAAGTTTGGCAGCAGCAGCAAGCAAATTCGCCGAAGCTAGCTCCCAGGCACCTGCTCCAGGGTGGACAGCTGATGGTGATCGACGGCGTCAACACCAAGACCATGGGGTTGAGTCTGCCACTAGGGCCAATGATGAAGGGGACGATGCTGTCTCTGAGGAGACGACACTACGCCGCATTGTGGAAATGGAGACTGCGGCACAGTCTAGCCCTCGCTACGTCCAGGAGCACGAGCTTGCTGAGTTTGATCGCGCTGCGAAGGCTCGCCGTCAAGACTTGGACGAGAACGACGACGCAGCGGAGATGAGAGCAGACCGGCGACCGCGTGTTGATTATGATGAGCTCAGCCGCGCCAATTTCACCTTTGATGGCTTCAACACTCTGAAGAATTCGCCCACGTGCACTGCCAAAGACAAACACGGTGCTGCTGGACCAGGCCGTGTCAACATTGACGTGTCACTCAAGCGCCTTAACCCGGCCGCGTACCAAGCACGCGAGAGCTTTGGACTGTCGGAGTACGTGCCACTTTACTCCGGCCATTGCTCGTGCACATCTCCGTTCTGCAAGAAGTGCATCAACCCGCTCGTGGCACCGGATGTTGTCCAGTTTGGCTACAAGGACGGTTTGCAGGTATCCAAGAAGCGTAGCTCCAAGTCGGAACGTGCACGCCAGAAGGAGCTGAACCGCTTGGCGAAAGTCAAGAAGAAATCTTCAATATCAGGTGCACAGCAGGCTAAGCAGCCCTTGCCAGTGGAGAAAGACAAAGGTAGTGCCAAAGATCTGGAAAAAAAAGTAATCAGGTCTGAGAATGAAATCCCTCAGCCAGCTGTGAGCACCCTGAAAGAGGCCCCCACAGACTCGACTAGTCAGGAGCAGCCATCAGATGCTGCACCACCGTCACCAGTAAGCTTAGCAGCAGATCAAGCGGACCGTCCTCGGTCCTCTCCAGTAGACGGGAAGCGGGTGAGAACAATCAGTGATGATAGCAGTGCTGTTCAGGTAGGATGCCATGATCACAGTATTGTCAGGAATTGCGATAGCCCCGCTGATCATGAGTTACCTATGGCAAGAAGCAATTGTAGACTTGATGTAACAGAGCCTGGTACCGCTGCACCCTGTTCTAGCATGTGCAGTGACAGTGGTGACGTTTACACCACGGGCAGCAATGCATCAGCTGCAGACCAAAAGAACACTGATGAGTCCGCACGAAAGGACACTGCCAATGAGATACTTCTCACAACAGGCCGCCATGATAGTAACCATGGTGATGATGATGCTGGAGATAATGATGACGGCGCAAACTGCGATCAGGACGCTTCGTCGCCATCGTCGTCGTTATCGTCGCCCAACATGCAGACTAGCAGCAGTGACCAGACCAGCCGTAAGCAGCAGCAGCCGCCGCGGCTCAACACCTGCTCACACTGCGCCACCGTGGAGCCGACGAGAAAGGCGTACAAGAAGTGCAACAGGTCAGTTGTTATTCCCGTGTACACTCCTCTGTCCATGTCACCACCTGGACACTCAGCGTGACAACACTGAATATAAAGATTTTTTTTGAAAATGATGTTACTTCCTTCACCTGAGGTTCTCCACTCACAATACTCACAATGGTAAATGGGAAGTTGCCGCTCGTTTGTTTGCCTGTGCACTGGCATGGCATGTGGCTGCGGCTTGTGGACCGGTTGGACAGTCATGTATCAGCAGTCTTCAAATTGTACGTATCCTCTTCGGTGGCATCTGCATGCATTACACCATACATATGTTGACTGTCAATGCATTTTCCCTTTCAAGACTTGGTTTCTCTTTCCGTCGTATACAGCCACCATCTGTTGTAATCCTTATCAAATTCATTGGGCCCGTTGCCTCCCGAAGTCAAGTGGTAACTTACCTGTTAACCAGTCGCTCGGTCCAGCGCACAGCACGCTGCTATCTTTGCTGATATTTGAGGTTGCGGTTGTCAGTTCGTCACGCTCTAGTGCTTGGACCCAGTGCTGACCATGCGTGTATTCCTATGCACGGCGATTTCTTGTTTTTCCTCCAGGTGCACAGATCCCCTAACTACACGTTACTACTGTTCACGGGCGTGCCAAGGTAATATTTGTACGAATACTGGTTCTACATGTACAGTACCGTAAAGTACCGTTGATCCGCACCCTGTCCATTTTCTACCTGTGAAGCGACTTCGGCGTATACAACGAAATACGATGTTGAACCGACGCTTGCACTGCTGTACACAATACGTGCCAATCCAGGATGAAAATGTACACAATCCAGCCCATCGAGTCTGATCCTCGACGTTGTTGTACATCGTACTGCACTTCACAGCCTTGATCTAATTCCCGCCCCCTGCCGAAAACCAGCTGGGAAACGACATCGCGTGGGGGGGGGGGGATCAACGGTATTTTACGGTAGTACAGTGCAGCGTGTCCTAAGGCGATCGCAGGGGACCCCTTCAACAATGTGATCCCCTTGTCAAGGCTCATTTGACTGGAAATAACATCACTTGGTGTCTTGTTAGAAGTTGTTACGTACCCTTATTGAAAGTATGTGTGTGGCGCTCAATACCGTAATACAAGGCACTACGGTGCATCGCTTCAATAATAATAATAATAAAACAGGTCGCGTATTGAAGCAGCATAACGATAGATGTGCAAAGTCATGATGCCTGGTCCGCTTCTGTCCTGGGTTCACTACCCCGTGCGTTGCAGCCGCGAGCAAAACCAGCTCAGGCTGAGAGTTCCCTCCATGATTGCTTGTTCAAAGCGCGCATCGCTTCAAGGTGTATTTTGTTGGCAATATCAATATCTGGGGGAATACATCGCATACTTTGCCGGCCACCGCCATCCATTCGGCTCTGTTCCGGAAAACAGTGAACTCTGGAGGTTGAGTAGCTTATGTGCTTGTCATGTGTACCTTTCGTGTTTCTTCTCTTCTACAGCCTCTGACTGGAAGGCTCGCCATCGGCGTGAGCACAGAGATGAAGTGGGATAGTGCATGCTCACTGCCTGGCACTGTGCTCAAAGTATTGACCTGAGCCGGGTAGGATCCTGCCATGATTTGTTTTTTCCATCTATTTTGTTGCATCAGTGGTCATACTCTTCACATCTCTTGCCGCTCCTGCACAGTTCTTGCTTTGTCTTTCTGGCGAGTGCTAGAGACCCCAGTGTGACCTACGCATACACCACACACTCGGACTCTGCCTTTAGTTTACACCAGGGAGTGGTACGAACTCCATGCTGCTTTACACCAACCAGCATCCACACCAGCATAACAGTGGCTTGGTTTGTGCGATGTGTCGTCCCACCCGTCCGATTGCCAGCGGTTTGTGGTGTTGAAGTTCTCGGCGGACTGCTGCACTTGAAAACCTTATGTTCAACATCTTCTCTATTATCACTCATGAAACGAACAACAGACCTCGCGCTCTGCTGTCCATCTGATCTTGATCAGCATATTTCCTCATGCAAAGCGTTAGTGCTTTGATACATAGTAATCCTCACTTTTCAGAACAAGCTCTGTGGCTGGACCACGTTATAGAAGACCAAAGTTTCCCATGTTTCGTTTTTTATTGAATTATTTTTTATTGATCGTGTCTGTCTTTGTACTGCACAAAACACACACTAGCCCGCTATCATCGTCCATCCATGTGTTTTAGACGAATGGTGAAGAAGCATGGAACTTTGGAGTCTCGTTCGAAATCATTGTGTTCTCTGCTTGCATTGTAGTAGCATAAGTGACTTTTTATTTCACAGAGTGAGCTGTTTTAGGTGATAACTCTGGTGAGGAACTTGTGCTTGAAAATCTTGTTGATCCTTTTCCTGGAACGCAGAGGCTGATTCTACTCGTGTAGCCACGAGTACATAACCCTGAGGGTATGGTACTCTTGATGTAACATATACCATAGTGTCTTGTATTGAAGCCGGTCTCGTTTAGAAGCCTGATTTTCAAGATACACAGTTGGTACATGAGCCTGGTTGTAGCACTAGTTATATACACAGAAATATGTGATTCGAATAGAACCCTGACTTGAATAGAAGCCTAGCACTGACATCGGCTTCTAGTCTACAGGATTTTAAGCCCAGCTTTATGCGACATTACGGTAGAACTGGCACATGACTTGTATACATTTATTGCATTGTTGCATTTCATTCTAATCAGGGAGTAGTACAATATGGTATTGTACTACTCCCTGATTCTAATCTTGACATGCATCGTGATCGAAATGCATGATTCATAATGGGAGACGGCTTGATCACAATGGCACCGGAAAGTTCTCGGAAATGCATACAGGATGTAGATCAAAGCTCGCTCGGCCGCACCACGTGCTGTATGTGTTGAGAAACACAACGAGCTTTATGAAGTAACTTAGTTTCGCTTGTGCACGTGGGGGGGGGGGGGGAGCAGATTTCAGATCGGCTGAGATCGCTCTTGGGTTTGACGATGAACTTTGATCACCATCACACATCCGCAACGTACAGAACTATACAACAATGCAATGGTAGTTACAAGCAGGGAGTAGTAAACTACCGGTAATTTACTACTCCCTGGTTACAACTATAATTATGACTGTACCTATAAGTGCAGAGGCTGAGCAGTAAACAAGGGCTTGTCCAGCTAGGTTTCATAAATGCCGTGGCAAAAACAATGCTATAGACAGTATAGTTCTGGTTGGGATAGGGCAGAAAATTAATATTCTGGCAGGGCGACATAAAGATGACAACACTTGAGCAAAATAGACACTCGAAATGTGCAGTGACAATAAGCCCATCTAAAGCATGAACTTCGAAACGTGTGCAATAGAGTGATTAAAAATTAAAAGCACGCGGAAGTATTCTCGAGGGAATAAAACGATTTGGATAACAAGTGCCACCTTGATTAAGAGTGAACATTTGGGCTGCTTGAGCAGAGTACATGCATGTGTCTTGCGTCACTACAGTGAACGAAAGCAAGAAACAGTGATTCATACAGGCCTGACAGAATCCCACGATACTAGGCCGAGGCGATACACACATGCAAATAACAGATGGATGATAATCACGTCAACAGTCCAGTGGCCAGTGATACCAGGCCAAGGGAGGGGGCTGACATCTTGTACCATTAGACGTGATCTTGGGTGAAGGTACTCGGAATAAATAGAATACAACTTGGAACACTCATATAAAGGGTGGAACGGAACGGAACAAGGTACTCAAAGGGCAATCAATGAGGATAACCTAATCATTCTCAGTGCTGATTAGCTCCACAGCATGAAAGGCTGTGGTGCGATACGACATAGCACTTGAAGCAAGACTTCAGGCATGACTTTCTTGAATGAGATTGGAGGAACTGCTAGGAAGCATGCTTGCGGTCTCGGCAATACCAGAGTCTAACACTAGGCGGTGCGCAGGCTGACTGGCTGCATTCACATCATATACCACACTGGGATCGGCAGCCAATGATCCTCTTGACAGCTCGTGGCTGGGTGTCGGCGGCAACGGTTGGTCTTGGTAATCAACGAATGAAAACTTAGCCGGATTGTTCACTACAGACAATGGATTGGGTGCACTCATACCCTGCACAGCACCCAGGAAGTCTCGTATCACATCGCTATAGTTTGGAGCAAGGAAGGTGTTGTTGTGCCCACCGCCTGGTACGGAGAAGAAGAACTTACGCGACTGGCACGCTTCATACAGAGTGTGCATCATTGCCGGCGGAACCACTCGGTCGCACTGCCCCGACACAAACAGGGCAGGCGCCTTGATATCACGGATAGCGTCGCGCGACGAGAAACGATTGCGAAGCATCCAGCCGGGCAACTTGGCAATGCATGAGTGGAACATACACGCGCCCATGTCAGCAATGCTGGTGAACGAGTTGACGATAATTAGTGCCATGATCTTTCGCTGGCATGCTGCCGAGCTGGCGAGCTTGGTAGCCACCGCGCCACCCAGCGACACTCCAAGCACAACAATCTTATTCGTATCTATATCAGTGCGCGCTAGCAGCAGGTCCAGACCTGCATGAGCATCCATGGTCAAACCATGCTCGCTGACACGCCCATCGCTTCTCCCGTACCCTCGGTACTCAAGCAGCAGCACATTGCAGTGGCATTCACTGTACAGGCGCTGTGCATGAGGAAGCCTGTCGCCTATGTTGCCGGCATTACCGTGAAAGAATAGAACGGTCGGGGCTGTGGCCAGTAGGCTTCCCTGATGCTTTATAAAGAAGGCATTGAGCCGAACACCATCCTCTGTTACCAGCTGAATGTTTTCGTATGGCAGAGCGCAAGCTGCAGGCGTTCTCACTAATAAGCGGGACCGTTCTGGATGGTCTGGGTGATAGAGAAGCATGTCTTGGACTTCATATACCACACCAGCAATGGTGAGGAGAAGAAAGAAAAACATCAGATACCCTCCGTAAAGCCAATTGAACAGAAAGATGGTGAGCAGGGCATAACTGCAGGAACTCCAGAAGTAATTCGAAGCAACATTGCTCCACACCGTGTTCGGAAGCTTCATGATGCGTCCCGGGAGAGATACCTGCATAAACCGGATAGCAACGAGGCTAGCCTGCCGAATAGTTCGCCAGCACATCAAGCAGAGGTGTACAAGTTTCATTCAAGCTGTCTAACTTGATCCCTACACTAAACTGGTAGAGAATAGCAACGGAGCATAGGTGTGCCAAAATAATTTCGCGATCATTTGAATAGACCCTCTCTTTCGGCTGGGACCATCCTATTGGATCTGATACCCTTTGGATACACACAGACACACGCTAGTCGGCAAGCAACTCAGTTACTGAAACAGCTCAGCAACTAACTAACTTCTCATCAATCAATCATTCGCAAAACGAAGGCATACATGTACAATGACATTATGTACTACTACACTGTCTTGTTTGAGTAAACTAGTTTTGAATCTTGAGTAAAATCTCGAGGTGTTTTCTTGTTGAACACGTCATTTTTCAGATCCATGAGCAATGAGTAATGCAATACTCATCGCCTGGATCGGAAAACGTCATACCAATTCAATGATTTCTGCAAAACTTATGTGGTACATTTTGCAAAATTACCATTTCCTTTATATCTGCGCATGCGCCCAGGTTCAGCCTTTCTTCTTTGGTAGCCATAATTCTACAGCAATGGTGAGTGTTTCTGCCAAATTCTTTCAAAGAAAGCTTTGTTGTAGAGGTTTGGGACGTCCAGAAAGCGGAGATGGAGAAAATAAGGTATCTTCTGTGGTGTGTTGCTCCAGGCTAAGGTAAAGGCTCATGAACTGCGCGGAAAGCGCAAGGAGGAGCTCCAGTCTCAGCTCACCGAGCTGAAGACTGAGCTCTCTCAGCTGAGAGTGGCTAAGGTCACTGCCGGAGCCGCATCTAAGATGGCCAAGATGTGAGTAAATCGTTTCAGTATGCTAGGAAAAAGCATGCATGGGTTATGTTTGTTCAGGGTTGACACAGTGTGGGACTGAAAAATTACGAACAGTATAAATCGCAATATTCGCAGTCAGTTTGAATTGTATGAATATTACTGTCATTTGTCAATATTTACTGGTGTTGTGGGTTACATGCATTCCATCATATACTGGAAATCCTCAATGGTTATGTGAATGGCAGCGTGATGATGTGCTAGCGCAGTAGTCGCAGCCAGTGTCAATTTAAAAAAGTATTATTAAATTCCAACATTAATACAAGCTGGATCGACATTTGTGTACACTTTATTCATGTAATGTAAAACTGTGGAGACAATGTGCAATAAAACGATGAAAATGTGAAGAAATGGTGTAGAGAAAATAAGGATTCAAACAAGTTTTCGTACAACACTCGTCAGGAATCTTCGTTGTACTAAAGGACAATTAGTGTCATTACACCTAGAACATTGAAAAAAAGTTTTACATTGCATGAATAAAGTGTACACAAATGTCGATCCAGCTTGTATTACCAAGAGTCCATAAACAAGAGTATGCAACTGTGATCTCTTTTCTATGGGCCAGATGCGCGGCGCGCTGCCTTCATTACATCATTCAGCTGCGGAAAATCAAACACCGCACTTTCCCTCCAGTTTAAAATGAACTTTCGTGTGGAACTGGAGTTCACGCGCCAGAATTCAGAGATTGTGTAGGTACTGGAACGAATCGAGCAAAAACGGATGGGCTCGTGCGAGAAATTGAGAGTTTGAATGCATGCTTTCAGAGCGTGATGAAGGCAAGTTACGTAATGAAGGCAGCGCGCCACGCACTGACCCATAACCACAGTTGCATACTCTTGTTTATGCACTCTTGGTATTACTGATTGCGGTTATCAAATTGTTGTCCCCTCGCGGTTTGTTCCAAAAGTAAATTTCTTTAGTCGTACATTTCTTTAATCTTTGTCACTAAACCATTTCATACTGCACCTTTGTCTTAGTTCACTTATAATTTATATTGAGCGTGCACGTCCATACATCTCACAAGCATCTATTGCCTATTGGTGTGGGTACACCAAAACAGACCTGAATACTTCGGGACCGCTGGATTTGCATATTGTGTACATGTGTGCGTCTATAAATTGACGCACGCTCAAATTTAGTTTGAAGCAGCCTGTCAAGTATACACCTTTGTTGTACAAACTCCTGGGAGGGTACGACTACTGTATTTTCTTGTGCATTCCCATGGATTATGAGGGGTTTATGCGAATTTCTCGAAAAAACCGGATGAAGATGGGGTCAGGACCGACAGAACACAGCTGATTTCTCATTCTCATCCAAGTCCTGTATGTTCAGTTAGGTTTGCGACCAATCTGTTGCATTTCCTTTGGGGAGTTAATGTTGTTACTGTTGTGCATCCGTTATAGTCGATGCCTCACCTCCACTTGCATGTTTGTACACTACTATGGAATTGTAACGTTGGTCGTATCCTGTGCAAAGTGGCGCTCTACGAAATTCGAATTCTTTGGAGCAGAGTTCTTACAAGTGCCAGTGTTACCCAGTGGACGCACGCTTCGTATGGTGGTCAGGCATTACAATATGTGTACCTTAGTACTGGGCGCTATGTGTCCCGACCCTGGATCTGTGCAACACGTGCTAGATTCAACGCCCTGCTGACGTTTACCAAGAGACTGACGGCACATACTGTTATATTTCCCTCGTGCCCCAAATTGGGTTGTGTGTCTGTGGGTGGGGGATGCCATTTCTCACTCTACATGGCTGTCATCTCCCTGGTATCTAGCCATTAATGTTGTTTCCCGCTATGTTTCCTTCCTATTTTGTTCTCTACTTAATCGGTTCTCTTGGTAAACTGGGCACAGTGCAACACTTCTCACTGTTCTTGCCTTTCAGCTACTTTGTGTACACACACGCTATCCCAGTTGCAAATGTGCGAGAAGTTGTAGTGAGAGTGCTGTATGGCAAGTCCCAAGTCTCTTGCATTTAGTAGTTGCGGTCTAGTATATTTCTCTTTTAACTTTGCCTATTTCCTACTTGTTTTTCCTTTTGCCTTGCAGCAAGCTTGTCCGCCATTCTATTGCCCGCGTACTGACAGTCATGACCCAAACCCAGCGCGAGAACTTGCAAAAGTTCTACCGCAAGAAGAAGCATGTGCCTGTCGATCTCCGTCCCAAGAAGACCCGTGCAATCCGCCGTAGACTCACCAAGCACGAAGACTCTCGCCGCACTCTACGACAGATCAAGAGGGACACACACTTCTCGCTGAGGAAGTATGCCATCAAAGAGTAAAAAATAAAAGGCTTTGCTCTGCCAATGGCATTTGTTGTGTGAGTGTAGTGGGTGTGCTGCAGTTGCTGTGTGCTTAGCCTTTCCTTGCATGCGTGATTGTTGCGTTCACTTGTTCTTTTTTCTGGAATCTTGGACTGTGTTTACATTCGAGATTTAAAGGGAGGGTTGAAATTGACACATCGTGCATCTGTACTTATCTCGTACCAGGTTTGAACAGCACTTCACATGCAAATTTCGCGCGAGAACATTACTTGAGTCTTGACCTCACAGGACTGTGGAAGTTGACTTTGGATGACAAATCAGTACTTGACCCGGGTCAACTCTCTGCATGTGAACACCCGCCTACTTTTCCTCTGCATATACTGTAAAGTACCGTTGATCCGCCCCCACGTCATGTCGCTTCCCAGCTGGGTTTTCGGAAATGGGTGGGAATTAGATCAAGGCTGTCAAATGCAGTATGCGTACGATGTACAACGTAGAAGTGCAGACTTGGAGTGCAGAATTGTGCACATTTTCATCCTGGATTGGCGAATATTGTGTACAGCAGTGCATACGTCGATTCAACATCGTATTTTCGTTGTACAGTATAGTCACGCGCCCAAGAACGTTGTTTTGAAGGGGTTTGCCTGGGACGTTCTTATTTTTTTCAGCAATCTGGCTGCGTTCTTATAGCACGTTCTTAGAAATAGTGCATACTGGATCATATGTATCCCACAAGCTGCCAGAAAACCAACACCGCCGTTCTTAGCTGTAGGCTGTGGCGTTCTTAGGGGCCGGTCACATTGAGGGAACAATCCTCAGATTATAAACCGGGAATAATTTGTTCTGCTTTTCATGACGGCCACACTGCATGCGCACAATGAAAATAATCTCACTCGCGCGAGCAATTTTTTTGTCACCATTCGCTTCTGACAGTCTGTCAGCCCCGCTCCTGGGCCAGAGCTGCATCAGCATAGCCTCTAGAGTATCGCTCCACTTCAAAACGCATTAAAAAACAAGGAAACTCAAAAGAAATTCAGTGGAAGCCGCGGATGATTATAATCTTCGGCGGAAAAGCGGGGCCTCGAGCTGATTTTCATCGAGTGGATTAAATCTCTCAAATCTCCCGCTCAGCGGCAACTATCCATGGTAACCACGGATTATTTTCGAATTTTCCCTCAGTGTGACCGGCCCCTTTAATAGGCTGTGTCTGAAGGGCCTTCCCTATCAAAATAATATATTCTACTACTACTACTACTACTACATGAGAAATTTCAGCCCGGGTTGAAAGTCTGTACGATAAACAAAATAGGTGAGCGTTTACATGAAGACAGTTGACCCGGGTCAAATACTGATATGCCGCCAAAAGTCCACTTCTAGAGTCCTGTATGGTCACGTGAATCCGTTCGCACGAAAATTGCATGTGCAGTGCTGTTCAAACCTGGCGCGAGATACGCACAGAAGTACGTTTGTACGATTTTCTTGACCCGGGGCGAAATTTCAACCCGGGTCTAGCGCAATGCGTCATGTAAACGCGCCATTCATTTTGTGCACCTGGCGGGTTGAAATCTGACCCGGGTTGAGACGCCTCATGTAAACACAGCCATAGTATTTCAGGCTGGACGTTCTTGGCCTCCACGTTCTTCAGCGCGCGACTACTGTATACGCCGAAGTCGCTTCACAGGTGGAAAATCGACAGGGAGCGGGAATTAGAGAGGGGGCGGATCAACAGTACTTTACGCACATTTTTTTCAATCGTACATCCTTTCAAACCCGGTTGAGCAAAAATCCACAAAGTGGGGTGTATGGGCTTCACATCGTCAGGTGGTGCGTATAGTACCTAAGGGGCCTTCCGCAAATAGCGATATTTATTTAGAAACGAAAACTATTCGATTCTCTGCAACCCCCCTCCCCCCCCCCCCCCCTTCTGAGAAACGAACACATACAAATGCTACGTAGTATCTCGATATTTTTGGTCTTTTTTCTGGACATGCTCACGCATGCAAAATGTACATCGATATTTTTCGAGAAACGAACAGGCGCTCAACCCCCTCCCCCGTCACTAGTTTTCGTTTCTAAATAAATATCTTTATCACTCTCTTAGTATTGACTCCCATTGATTTTTGCCATACCTAAGCAGTCAAATATTCCTGCATATTTCACTCCTTAGGGCTATATTGACTGCTTATATTTGACTGCTTAGGGGTTGCACAGTTGAACGGTGCCTAGTGCAGCTTTGTCACTGCATGAGTAGGTGGTGGTGCAACGGTTATGCAATCATAAAACCGGGATTCATGAGGTTATCGTTCTGGAATTTGAAATACGGACTGTTTGTCGTGATAAATCTAATATTGACTTCGAACTTGGTCAGTATAGGAATTTCATATAAATAAAAACCTCGTAAAAGACCTCGGCTTCGCCTCGGTCTTTTACTCAGCTTTTATTTCCTATATTGACCTCGTACTCAGTCAATATTAGATACAATATTTACGGATGGCCCCTAAGTTGAAAACTAGTCCTTTGTGCATCCTTCTGTGTAGGTTTGGAGTAGAAATACTTTTGCCTCTCCGGTGAATACTTTCTTTTCTTCTTTTTCGGTACAGTGGAGTCGCGGGCTGAAGAACGGCACAGCCTATAAAAGCTAAGAACGGCAGTGTTGGTTTTCTGGCAGCTTGTAGGGTAAATATGATCCAGTGCGGATTGTTTCTAATAACGTGCCAAAAGAACGCAGCCATTCTAGCTGTCATGTCAGTTTTTTTCGTGGAGGTGGGCGGCGGGATGCACTGCCGTCGTGTAAATCGCCTCTTAAGGCCGATTCATACTTCATGTCGCGTACGGGAAAGTCGTTGCGCGATGGCTTTCCCGTTTGCGAAATAGTTGAGCTCAGATCAACTTTTTCGCGACGCGTTTTCCGTACGCGAAATGAAGTATGAATCAGGCTTAACGCTTTACTCGAATACAAGCTCCCTCTCAAATAGAGCCAGTCTGTCAGAGGGAATTGACCTAATATGCAATATCAGAGATAAAGGAAGGGGAAGCTTTGCGAAAACGAATTGTACAAAACCGGACGCCAATATCTAACGGTGCTCCTCATGCATGACACTATTGTGGACGAGTTGACTACAATAACAAGCAGTTCCACACGACGTACGTTTCGCCGTGTTGTTAGTGACGGCTTATCAGGTGTGCAAAATTTAAACTCGGATACTGAGCCAGTAATACATATAGATGTAAAAAAATCGTTTTCGCAAAGCTTCCCCCTTCCTTTATCTCTGATATTGCTGACCCACCCAAGTCGGGTGGTGTGTTGCTTTGCTGCTTCGAATTGTAGTCAGACCGCATTGTCATGTTATTAACTGGTCTCGTCATCGTCCTGTAACAGTCGGCATTCTTTGTTGCCGCAAAAAAGCTTCGGTGAATCCCGCTTTAGCTTGTGCACATTTTCGCTGCGCTTACCTTCCCCTCTTCGGTCCTACGTAACCATGAACCTTCCAAGTTGGAAGGTGGTTGGTTTGCGCACTGGAGATGTGTTAAGCGGGATTCACAGAAGCTTTTTTGCGATGCGACACGCGATGCGACAGCCGCGAAACCGGGAAATCCCCAAATCGCAACCATTGCGGACCCCACGCAACTGCCGCAGGTCTCGGGTCGCTGAATGTCTCAGGCCTCGTTTACACGACAACGATTGAAAAACGTTTTCAAAAGAATACGCTTCCACAGATTTTGATAAGAGCGCTAGCGTTTACACGACAACGCTGAAAAACGTTTCAAACGAAAAACGGCCTTCAAAGTGTTTTTCAATCGTTTTCGTTCTCGTGTAAACGGCAAAAACGTTTTACTAGTACGAGCCTTGTACTCAAAACATGCCGCCGCCAGCCTGCGCCAGGCCAACTTATTGCACGTGACCATTGCGCGCCGAAAAACGTGTTGCAGTGTACACGATTATCGTTTTCGTGTAAACAGCGAAAACGTTTCGAAAACGATTGAAAAACGTTTTTCAATCGTTGCCGTGTAAACGAGGCCTCAGTAGCCTGCCAGTGTTGTGCCCTATTATCGCACTTTCTGACCGTTTATCATCTTGTTACAGTCGTGGATAGTTGCTGCATAACTCGTTCTCATGTGTTTCTTCTCTTTTTTACATTTATTACTGGCTCAGTATCCGAGTTTAAAATAACTAACTTGTAATTCTTGCCTAGTTTGAGGGAAAGACACAAACTTTGGTCTTTCCATAACCTTGAACCTTCCAAGTAGTTGGAAGGCTGTCGGTTAGCGCTACGGAGATGTGTTGAAGCTAGGTGTCAGAACGTCGAATGTCTCAGTACTCTGTCAGTTTTGTGGCTGGGGCGGTACAACTTTTTTGGGAAAATTTTGACTTCATTTTTGAGTTTATCCGCAAGGCAGAGATGAACTTTGAAAATGTTTTCTGGTGAACCTCTAGTTTTATTTTTACTTTTGGACAAAATTTGAAAACGTTTTATGAAAGGTTCGTGTTATTTTTTCACGGACCTTTCATAAAACGTTTTCAAATTTTGTCCAAAAGTAAAAATAAAACTATAGGAAGCTAGAGAAGGCTCTTCTCCAGAGATTCACCAGAAAACATTTTCAAATTTCATCTGCACCTTGCCGATAAACTCAAAAATGCAGTCAAAATCAGGGAGTCGTCAAACCCTGGTCAAAATGTACTCCCTGGGATAAACCATGGCAAAATTTGTACCGGGAACACGTCGCGCGCGCGACAAGGACTACGTACGCACTACGTACAGACAGGTGAAAGATTGCGCAACGCGCCAGCACGAAAGTCAGCACTGTTTTCAATGACGCAATGGCGCGCATGAACATGATTATGATTGTCTTGCAAAAGTAATGTTCAGTCAGTGTGTGTCATTACTGCACTCCCAATTCCACTCTTTGAAAAGTCTTTGTAATTATTATTTTGATCACTTTTGAGTCTTCCAGATCTTGGAGATTTCTCCATGGGTGGGTGTAGAATTTGTTGATAATGTTGAAAAGAGCCGTCAGTTAGCTATGGGCGGTAGTGTGCTCCTTTCAATGGAGGAGAAAGAAAATGGAACCTATCGCTGCTGAGGAGGCTGTGTCCAGTGCCGAAGACCTGCCCGTACAAGGGCAGGAAATTGCTGCTGAGGAGGCTGTGTCCAGTGCCGAAGACCTGCTAGTAGAAGGGCAAGAAATTGTTGTAACAAGTGCTTCTGAACCAACGAGTAAGAAGCGCTATCGCCCGCTCAGGGAAAAATCGCCCGATGAATACCGTCGACAGCGTGACAGGAATAACGTAGCCGTCAGAAAATGCCGTGTAAAGGACAAGGAAAGTCAGAAGAAACGAGAAAAGTTAATTGAAGAGCTGAAGGCAGAAAATGCCCGACTTACTGCTCAAGTGCAGCAGCTGACTGAAAACAATCGTTCCGCGCAGGCGGACATCCGTGATTTTCAAATATGTTGTATGGATACAACCAGTAAGTTACGAGTTGAACTCGAGCTTCAGCATGGTGCTGTAGGGCGCTTGAAGGACCGTTTAGATATTGCGAAACAACTGTTTGAGGAACATAACATCAAGGTCGCACCAGGAATGTTCTTCAAGGCAGAAAGCGTTGTAGCCCAGACGCTCAGCACCAGCTTACCAGTGGATGTTGATAGTCAGCTGGAACGCCAACACCTGCCGAATAAATCAGAGGAGGCGGCTGCTGCGGCCCCTCACGAAATGGCGTCTGTGTTGCCCGTGGAAGATGTGGATGGTGGACACGTATCCATGCCCGACATGAACACAATAGAAGTTGCTGAGGAAGTGCAGGTAGGTCCACCAGCTGCTGATAACTCAGATGATGACAAGAAAGCTATCCAGAGTCTGAGCAACTCTTAGCCATCTCCGGTAATGCCTGTCTCGTTGTGTGTGACCGTTGCCTGTATGAGCATTGTACCGTTGAATGCACACCGTCACGTCGTATAGACCACTAGATTAGATGCTGTTACTGCAGTATTCTACTGCCTTTGCATGCTAGTTGGGTAGCTGCCTAACTGCCTGCATGCCCCCTTGCTTGCAGTTATGGCTTACAGTATTAGGCCCTAGGATTAACCCATTTCTTCCATCCATCAGAATAGTTCTCATGCAATTTTATTTTCAGGGGTGCCATGAAACACTTGTGCTGTCTGTTTGTCTCGCTTTGTACATAGCTAGCTGTGGTGTCGTTCGTTTTTGCTGTATATTTCTCATGTTTAAAAAAAAGCTTTTACTCCTGTGTACAGATATGTTCCTGGCAGTACATACAAGTACACTATGCTGGTCATGTGCACAAGTTGGTGCATCAGCTCATTTTTTTTTTAAAGTCAAAAAGCATACAACTTTACAAGCATGGGTTGCTTGACAACTCAAAGACAGGTGCTAGGTGTGCTCTTGGTGTGGCAAGAATGGGGCAACGGGTATCGAGTGATATTCCCGGTAGCCTAATCGGCATGAAGGGGTTCTGGGTTTTGATCCTGCCCGTGGATTCTTCCGCAATATTTATGCCCAACGTGTGGTCCTGGTCCCATGCTAACGTTCATGCATTGGCACAATTGCAGTCCACATGCAGTTTAACCTCTGCGTATACCTGTACAGGTATATCGGACTCGGCCTGCTGTGCTTGGTGTAACCTGCTTGTATCACAGCACTCTGTTCTTGGGAGCCCGTATGAGTACTGAATATTGTGAATACCGCTAAGAAGCTAAATGTTCTGTGCTAGAATGGTCACGGTGCACAGATAATCCAAACCTGTCAAGGAGATTATTTTTACTTGAAGTTTGTGTTGAGCAACACTTGCAAATATTTAAAATTAAACAGAGACGGGGTAAAATCCCTCGTTTCTGATAATTCATATTGAAGAAAGCAAGTATGTGGATGTCGGGATGTTGGTCCCGAAGGTTGCGTTCATCAGAAAAAAGCCAGATAAGACCTTGCACGCAATAGGATCGTTGCAAAACAGAACAGGACAGTTGTGTGTGGCTTGGCAATAAGCAACAATGACCGGCTAACGATGCCGGTAAAATGCCAAAAATGGCTAATATTTGATAAATGATGGAATCTTAAATGAACGATATTAGTTAAAAAGGTGTCGTGGCATTGGCCAATGAAAGGTATCAAGGCCACCGATCGACTGACTGATGCCGATCTAATCTTGCAATACAGAGGAAGAAAAAGAGCAATAATCGATTTTAAACAAGTAGTGTAAGGTACGACGGAAAGACACGTTACACGTGGCAGCAGGACAAGCCCGGTGGGATATCAAAACAAACATCCACGGACAATAGAGATGGTATACGGGTAAAGCAGAGGGACTCATAATAGTTCTATCACTTGATCGGCAAGAAAGCCGCTGTGCAATAATCTACAACACTGGGTACCAGCCACACAGCAAGTGGACAACAAAACAAAAGGATAAATCAAACCTACATAAAAAAAAGAATTTCAACAACAGAATAACCGCAGTAATTTTACAGGGACAGTGTACATGGGAATAATCAATCCGAGGGGGGGGGGGGGTTGTTGACTCAGGTATTTCGAAGTATTTTGTATAAAAGCAAAGGGTTGGACGAGGCCAGAGGTACTGCATGCTGCATCAATGCCGGGTACGCTACGAATGAGCGAGGCTTCCCTGTGCAGTCCACCTGCAGAGCGGAGCAGGGGACTGGCTAAGGCAATACCTCTCTCTCACACCCACACTAGAACACTATAGGTACCGGTAGCGCAAGTTGAGAGCCGTGTGTGCGTGTGCATCAGGCACGGCAGCAGCGTGAATACAGCCAGGCTGAATCCCATCACTGGAAATCAATCTGAAACGCCTTTGATGACATTGGTCAGCACAGTGACCCATCTACCAGAAACACACAGAAACACACCAGACCCAGAACTTTGCAAAACATGTAATGATCTCATCTCCCAGAAACACACAGGAACCACACCAGACCCAGAACTTTGCAAAACATGTAATGATCTCATCTCCCAGAAACACACAGGAACCACACCAGACCCAGAACATTGCAAAACATGTAATGATCTCATCTCCCAGAAACACACAGGAACCACACCAGACCCAGAACATTGCAAAACATGTAATGATCTCATCTACCAGAAACACACAGGAACCACACCAGACCCAGAACTTTGCAAAACATGTAATGATCTCATCTCCCAGAAACACACAGGAACCACACCAGACCCAGAACTTTGTAAAACATGTAATGGATAGTAAGGAAACGTCTGTTGCCGGTTGTGTAGCTCACCACCTTCCCATCCTCAAAACTCTCGTCTAAAACTAAAAGTTACCAGGATGTAAAAGCTTACGCCTTGCACTGAACATGTGAACGTACCCGCGTGCGTGTTGCGCGTGTGTGTGCAAGTGCACGCATGGGAAAGATACATGTATGGGAGTCGTGTCTTCCGAAATGTGCAGAAGAGCAGGGCAGAGCTTTTTTAAATGGCGAAATGGTGCAATATCAGTACTCACCTCTCTCGTTCATCATCAGTCTCACCAGCGAGTAGAATGGTTCCAATGCTTTTATGAAAGATGCGAAAGCTGTGCTCACGATCACTACCATGTGAACCCTGAGCATGGTACCATGTATATATACGTACACATGCACACACACACACACACACACACACACACATACACATGCATACATACGTGCACACCATGCACACATGCACATACACGCACATGCATACATACGTGCACATGCACACACATACACATGCATACATACGTGCACACATGCACATACACATGCATACATACGTACACATGCACACACACACACACACATGTATACATACGTGCACACCATGCACATGCACACACACACACACACACACAATCATGCATACATACAGTCAACTTCGCCAATAACGACATTCGGCGGGGCATCAGAAAAGTGTCCTTATTCGCGAAGTGTCCTTATAACCGAAGTCCCATTTGAATGTACATGTATGTGAACCCATATTTGGTATAGTATGACATGCATATCAAAATCAAGCTCTTTTCTTGCTCTATGTCAATGTGTACTTTATTTTCATATTGCAATTGAAAAGAACTAAAAATTCAATATGCAAGGGAAATCAATTGAAAAATATGCCTTTTTGAGCCATCTACAGGGCCAGAGACATGTACATGTATGATGATTACTGTACAATCATGTACAACTACATGTACATTGTATACATATAGGTGTGCTGGTAAATCCAACAATTTTGAAGCCAACATAAAAAAGGAAGAAAAAGCCCCCCCCCCCTTGGCTGCATTTTCTTGCATGTGTGCCTTTATAATAATTATTAATACTTGTAATATCCATCACCATAGGTTCTGGTACTTCTGCATGACAGGTACATGTACTTGACTGACAGGTACTTGAAATAGCTGTCAAAAGCCCAGAAAGTCGTTATTCAAGCAGTGAATATGACCTCGGGGCACTAAAAGCATGTCGCTATACGCGAATTGTCGTTATTCAGATAGTCGTTATATCCGAAGTTAAATGTATACAGTTAGATGGGACTTTGCTCTGGGCATGGAAATTCGGTCGTTATTCGCGAATTGTCGTTATATCCGCAGTCGTTATTAGCGAAGTTGACTGTACACGCACACCATGCGCACGTAAGCACACCTCAGACCTCAGACATGCCCATCGCGGGAGCGATGATAGCGAACAGCTATGTTTTAGACATAGCAACTTGTGCTGGGATTACACCATTCAACAGCTTGCAAGGCTGATGAATTGACCGCCACTATTTTTAGCCTGGTATCCACCACACAGCTGTTTGAAGTGACTTTACGCACACACCCACACACACACCCACGCGCACCCCACACCCACACACATGCACACAATCATGCACACATGTATATGTAAAGGATTATAACGAAACGTCTGTCGACTCCGTTGCCGGTTGTGCAGCTCACCACTTTCCCATCGTACAACTCTCTTAAAAAAGTTACAATATAAAAATTTCCGCCTTGCACTGAACGTGTGTGTGTGTGTGTGTGTGTCCGCACCTGCTTGTAGGGTGTGTGTGTGTGTGCATGTCCGCACCTGCTTGTAGGGTGTGTGTGGTGTCGACAATCACACATTATCCATTCCATGCCCATACATGCCGGAATGTGCAGTAAGGAATGCCAGTGGCTGGCACAACATGCGTGCATAGCAGTGTGCTTTGTATAGTGTGTACAACCAGTGGAGAGGGTGTGCAGCAAGAATGCCTGCCACGGTGCAGCGTGTGCTGGTGCTCCAAAGCCAGTGCTCACCTTCTTGATGCACTCCACCACATGGCCAGGTAGGGGTTTACTGCCCTGTGCCACAACATCCTGTTGCACACAACAACAACAACAACAACAACAACAACAATTCTCTTATTGGCGATGGTGCCATCGTGAGAATAAAGAATTCAACAACAACAACACATCGCTAAGCATTTATAGCTCACAAGGATGATGGGCCATGCCCAAAACATTTTGGTGAAATGTAAAGTGATTGGCAGTAAAGAGACCATTTCTGGAGTTGGAGAAGTAAGGGGTTATACATGTGTAAGTGGCTGCGTTAGAGTTCACAGACAAGTAGAAAAGTTTACAGGTAAGCAGGTGAAACAAAGGCAGTAGATCACACCTGCACGGCTCACCCTCCACCACCACCACCACCACCACCACCACCACCACCACCACCACCACCACCACCACCACCACCAATCCTCCCATCACACACACAGGCACACAGGCACACACACTTGCGCAGCAGGTGCAAAGGTGACGGAATATCTGCAATCCCAGGGAGAGGGCCTAGTGGCCTACGGACACTGTGCCTGGTGTGCATAATTAGAGAAGTTCTGCAAAATGCGCCCGAAGTTTCGTGACGGGCCTTGCAAAAGTTTGTGCAAATTTTCAAAATTTGTGTTCAGTTCTGCACATTTTTGCAGTTTGCACCTTGTGCATGTGGTGAACCTGTTGACCACTTTCGAGCCCACGAAAGTTCACTTCGCATTTCATGCAAGTTTAGCGCCCAACGTTGCGAAAGTTCGCGCGAAGTTTCTCACTTCACGACAGATTTACGTTGTGCTGGAGCATCCAGAACATACCATACACGAATACAGCAAGGAACTATTATTTCAGGTCATTGAGCGTCCTGTTTATAAAGATGCGACTATACAACAAGGACTCAATCACCGTGCTAAAGGCTGGGTGACGTGATGTGTATGTGGGTGATACACGAGAACTAGCTTGTACATGACCAGCAGCAGCTCACCTCTGGGGCACGGAACCAGAACAGAGCCAGGTCCCGCACTTGAAACCAGAAGCGTTTCCAGCGCAGGCCCGACTTTAGATGCAGATAGCCAGTCAGGACAGAGTCCTCATCGTAGCCTTTCACCTGCACAACACGGCAAGTTCATACAAGTAAAGCAACAAGTATATCAAACAACAGCAGGCACAAACTATGTACATTGTATTACTAACTCAGCCAGAAAGAGAATCTATCGACAGACTTTGCAGCTGGATTCATCAGGCAGGGACTTACCTCACGAACGCCTGGCACGGTTTTGCCTTTTCTCTTGTCGACCTCCGAGTCATCTTGACCACCTTCAGTGGCAGCAGCAGCAGCACACACATGCACACACGCACATACACACACAGGTTAGCGATGAATACTCAAATCCCTGATAGTGGTTTACAGAAAGCGATTGAAAATAAAACAGCAGCAGATGTGCTGGCAAGAGTGCAAGCTCTGTGTTAAATGAGCATGAAATGGAGAACAGGAACATGAAGAAAGCCCTCTACCGACTACTAGTACGTTTAGCAGACATTGCACAGTAACTTATGACCAGAGAAACAGCAACATGTATTGGCACTTTCAACTAGCGTGTACATGGGCCAGTATACATTAATACGAGTACAGCATCGATGGTAGGAACATTGAGGAGACCACTACTGTAATGGCTATCAATAAGATTAGTTGTGTGCCATCATGGCAAAACACACAAGTTCAGCAAAGCCCCATTACAGCAAGCCAGAACGTTTTCTTGTAACTTTCATCTGTGGCTATCGTCGCACTCAAGGGAATACTTTGAAGTAGACAAGAAAACATTCTGGTTAGCTAAAATGGGACTTTGCTGAACTTGTGTGTGCGTGTGTGTGGTGCAATGATGGCACAACTGATCCTATTGATAGCCATTATTAAATTGTTGTCTCCACGGCGTTTATTTACTACCACTATACTTCCGAGTACACTGTAGTCTCCTCCTGGATTCATGTGACTAGCAAGCAACTGCTCACTCACTTAAATGATAGAAGCACTTGTCGCAGACACGATCCTTCTTGCCACTGTACTCCAGGAACATTTCCCGTGACGAGCAATTGGAGCAGCAAACCTGGAAGAAGGCAGGCACACACACACAGATCCGTGTGTTCATGTGAGTGTGTGCATGTGTGTGCGCTCACATCGCACAAAGAGTCACTGGTCGTGGCACAGATGTGCTGCAGATCAGTAACGAGCATTGTGAAGCAAAGGAAAAGCACTCTCTCTCTCTCTCTCTCTCTCTCTCTCTCTCGATATAGAATGCAGCATTGTTGCAGCGGTTTTAATTTTTAAACCAGTCGAAGAACCCTAGGTTACTTAACAGTGAGTTCACACATGGATGATTCATTGATTTGCAATATCAAAAAATGATCAGGATCCAAATATGTGTGCATGCGTTGAATTCAACTTGGTAGACCTACTTCAATAGGCATTAAGACTGATACCTTACCTTGCCACAGCAGCGACAATGATGCCGCCGCCGAAACGTAGAAAACTGCTGTGCACAGACCATGCACATTGACGTCGAGGAGTCGTGAAGCCACACGGGCGCAACTTTGCCTAACCGCTGAGCGCTGTCTTCTGAATAGCCGCCGTCAATTACTTCACCATCCTCGCCCTGGGAACAATCACAGTACATATATAAACACAAAGTTTAGACAATCCGAAGTCTGAAAGAAATGCTACAGCACCAGCGACCATCGTGTATCCAAACTAGCTAGCTTGACCTACAGTCTAGTATTGATAAGCTGTGGGAACTAACTTAAGTGATCTGACAGGCGAGACACTGGTGGATATAAGCTGTGGGAACTGAGTTAGAGTGATCTGACAGGCGAGACACTGGTGGATATAGCACACCGTCCCCAGAAGGATATTCAACCGTACATCTCGTCCTATCCCTGCGCGCTGGGGCCAGGTACGCAACTAGGAATTGCCTGTAGCTCTGAACATACATACTGCTCGCATGCAGGTAAACCCACTGTTGCCAATCACTATTTTGGCGCTGCTGTGAAAAGCGCCCATATTTCGGGACTCAGAAGGGCAAAAGAGGGGCACCCCGTAGACAGGAGTGCCTGGATCTGGGGGGAGTCCAGATACTAGTACTTCGAAGAAGAGTTTGTTGCAGTACTAACAACACCCTCCTACAGACTAAGCTTACCTACGGGCATACGCCATGTACACAGACAACATGGGCGTCGCAGCCCAGCCAATATTCTGGCCGACTGGCAAATGCCCTGAAAATGCACGATTTGGCTTGATTTTTTCAAAATGTTACCACGGAAGGTCCCCGGGACCCCAGTAACCACGGCCTTTGGGCAAAGCCGGACCAACCTAAATTAGCTTCCGACCCACAGAAGACAAATAGCTTCCGACACCTTACACCTGCCCATCGCTGAAGCGATGATAGCGAACAAACTATGTTAGACATAGCAACTTGTGCTGGGATTACACCATTCAAGCTTGCAAGGCTGATGAATTGACCACCACCAATTTTAACCTGGTCCACAGCACACAGGTTCCGACAGCCATAGACAATGACACAGGGCACATGTACGCCCCATGCGTACAGACAATCAGACAGGACACACATGCCACACGTACAGACAATGACACAAGGCGGCGGTTGGAGTCTACGTCCAGTGACAGTCAACAATAGGGTGTACACTACAGTACAGTTGCGCTGGGTGAAATCAGACCCAGAGTGCACATCTGGCGCCCTCAATTCGCACGCCCCCGCCGCCCTGGAAGTGGCACGAATGCGGCCAGACGTACACATTCACATAATGCAGTGATGTAATCGGAACAGGCCCAGGGCGCCAACTTTGCACTTTTTCACCGAGCACAACTGTACGAGTAAGACACGTGCATTCCCCTGGGTCCACCGTCCGTGGAAATGCATGCACACTTTATTGCACAGTAGAACAGCAAACAGCAATGCACTAGGTAGTAGTAACCTTGTTAAAGCGCGTTGTTTGAATCTGTCTCCACTTCTCAGTGCAAGACGCAATATCCTGAACGGGTGTGGGAAGAGATACACAATACAAAGAGCACAGAGACAGCATTCAGTCACAATTCAGTTGAAGCAATGAGCACAGATAGGGGGGTAGAGAACACACAGAACACTAGAGACCATACCATTGACAAGCATGTCCATCAGGCTACACACAGCATCACCACAAACACTACACCACAGACACATACTTCAATGTACTGTAAATCAACTTATTTTTGCTGGCGATTTAACTTCGCTGATTTCACCGCTTGGTACCAACCGACCAAAGTAAATCGCAGGCCAACGTTTTTCATAGAGGCAAATGATGCATGATTTAGTTATGGCTGCATGTGACAGCAACAACTACTGATCGAGTTCTTTTTAGAAAACCCCAATTGGCTAAAGTTTGATTTCAAAATGGCCAAAATTCCTCACCGGCCAAAATGTGTTGATTTACAGAAGTCGACAGCGAGGATGACAAATGCACTTACCTGCATCCACTCCTCTTTCTCCTCGGCAGAACTGCAAGTCACAGAGCATAGGCACGTGCACACACACACACACACACACACACACACACACACACACAGAGGAAGAAACCAATATATGACTCATACTGTTCACAATACGTGGTACATCAAAGCACAGTGAACTCTGGCAAATACAGATACCCAGCGACGACACATAAATTACTGGATACCTCGGAGATCACACATAACCACAGATACCTCAGGGACCACACATGATTACAGATACCCCAGGGACGACCACACAGGACTACAGATACTCAAGGGACCACATAATTATTATAAATATCTGTGTGATTGTTTTAACTCGGACACTGAGCCAGTAATAAATGCAAAAAAGAGAAGAAAACACATGAGAACGAGTTATGCAGCAATCATCCTCGTGGATAGCTGCTGCATAACTCGTTCTCACGTGGGATTGTTATTCAACTTATTCTCATCTCCAAATCAGTAAAGAGAGCATCAGGTTTAAGCCTAACGAATGGAACATGAGAACGCACCTGGCTGCGACGCATATCGACCGCGCTTTACTGAGGATGGTGAACGCGTGGGGCAGAGGCGAAACCTGCTTGGCCTCCACCTAACGCAGGAAAGGAACAGCATGCACAATGCACACATTATTACACTGCATGGCCAGGTATTGTAAGGTGGTACAGGCAGCCACCTCAAGTACAATTTACTGTTGGGGTGAAGCGGCTCCGGCTGCTGAAATATTTTTGAAACTTAGAGCCCAAGTCAGTGTCTTTTATTATCCACTGGATGCAGGTTGAAAGGGTGACACGGTCAATACTGGAGTGACCATAGTGTGTCCAGCGTCCCCTGACGCCATAAGACTAGAATCAAGTGATGTCTAAAGAACTCAGAAATTCACTCATCTGCATAAACAACTAGCACGATTGCCGGCACCCAGGCAGCACGCACGAGAAGAAAACAGAGCCAGCACGCACGAGAAGAAAACAGAGCCAGCACGTACGTAAGAAAACGGAGTCAGCATGCATATGTACGTACCCGTAGCTCTGAAACGGGGAGCAGCGCCCGCACCCTGTACTGGCCACCCTCACCGAACGGCTGGTTGGTCACGGACGTCGCATGGATGAGCTTGTTGTTGAACTGCACAGGGCGCGAGAAGACAAACATGAGCATACATACATCGGTTCAACGAGTTACTCTGAGTTCCGCTGATGAGACCTAACAAGGTCAAAGCAGCTAGCTGTCCGGAGATTGAGTGCAGTACATACATACATGCATACATACATATGAAGATGTGTGTACTTGCAAAAAGTGACAATAATCACAGATTGCCGTCAGTGGGCTAACACGGTCTTGACTGCTTGAGTGTGTGAAGCTAAGGCACTCAAAGTAGAAATGCTCGACAGTGGGTCTCAGTGCCAACGCTATTCCGATGCCAATAAAAGAAAAATGAAAAACATTACTCACTCGCACAAAGCACAGTTAACAGTATATGTACGGATACATGTACTGTACAAGGCTCAAGTCAACAACCGTAATTGTCTTCGCACAACATAGCACAGGGCATCACTTACCAAAAAGAAATAGCGATTATGAAAGAGTTTCCGTGATGCCTTCATCAGCGGGCCATGTCGTATTAGTGCCTGCAACACATTCAGCACACAATGTGCCCAGTGGCAGAATAAAACATCAAGGCGGGGTATACAGAATTAATTAAAGAAACTCGCATGGTACGATGGACTAGACCCCCAAAAACCTTCACTGTTCGGTTACACAAGTGGACCAGGCATTTCTAAAAGCCAGCATATGATAGGATGGCACATAACCCAGCGGAAAAAACATGCCCCCCCCCCCCCCCCCCACACACACACGCAAGCACACACATATACACACACCCACACGCATGTACACACAATGTTACAATGTAGATACGCCTACTGCGCCACACATCAACCCATATTCATGGAATACTTACAGCACCAGGCTGGACTAGGTCGATCTTGTCTACAATGGACAGCTGAACCATCATTACTTTATTGAAGTTCTCCTGCAGACAGACAGACAGACAGACACACAGACACACACATGTTTACAGCATTGCCTGCAGAGCACTTGCCAGCGACACACGTCACATCCACTGGGCAGAGTTCACATCAGCTGCACACCTACGGCACCAATGGCACACCTACGGCGCCAATGGCACACTCACACGATGCAGTGCACAATCACACTCTAACAGGCGCAATGCCAATGGTGGTGTAACATGAAACCTCTCTGACTAAGCGCACAATGTAAGCAGTTGACAGCTGATGTTTTTACGAATGGACTGTAGTCTAGGCCAAACGAGATCTAGTGATCGTAGCTTGCACACAGACAAGAGGCAATACCAGTAAGGAATTCGCAGTAAAGTATCATTGCAAAAACCTGTCTGCCACTTCAAGCTGGTAGGATTTCCACGCCACATTTTCAAGTGGTGAAGCTTGGTGTACGGCAGGCCAGACAAGACAGCTGCACCAGCGCGCGCACACGCACACCTCAGACCTGCCCATCGCGGAAGCGATGATAGCGAACAGCTATGTTAGACATAGCAACTTGTGCACACACACACACCGTTGTGTGCTCGGTGAAGTCCGACCCAGAGTGCATACTTGGCGCCCTCAACTTGCACGGCCCTCACACACCCTGGGTGTGGTACGGATGCGATTAGACGCACACATGTACAGGCACAGTGATGCAATTGAACTGGGCCAGGGCACCAGGTTCGCACTTTGAGTCGGATTTCAGCGAGCACAACTGTAGGAGGAGCAGCAGCAGCACCAGTGGCATCACTTACCAACTCTTTGATCTGCTGGTTAGCCTTATCTGCTGCTACTGAGATATCTTCTAGAGATTCTGCAATCACAAACAACAGGTTACATGTAAATACAGCTGGTCATTGCCGGCAATTACAGTGAAGCATTAATTGCACCTCCGAACATGTTATCCATTAAATGAAGACCACAGGCGAATGGATCGTAGTACATGTACTATGAAGGCAGACTCCGGTCACAGTTGAGTTTTGACATGGAAATTACCTAACATCAAATACTTGCAGTAGGGGTATGGTACTAAAGGCCTAACACCTGCCAGGACTTACTCTCTGCGCCAGGCCGGTCAGGGTAGTCCTCCGGTGCCCATTTGAGATATTCTGGAAAGCGCGGCATGAACAAAGAGGCAGATATAATTATAATGTGAGCACACACAGTTGGAAAAGCAACCAACACATCCCCCGGTGATCAATATTTCATAATACCAAGGCACCAATGCCACAGAGGTGACTGGTGTATTGGTGGTCATGCAACGTTGACAGGCACCTTGCAAGATGAGTTAACACCAGTGATCTAAAAACTAACAAACTGTAGATAGGATGACTCAGACGGCACCACAAGAGAATTGAAAATCAAGACAAATTCACGACTGGCCCACCTGCACTACGCAGCAGTATCCTAGAACTGCAAGCGTATTACTCTAGCAACAATGGAATGCAAGAAAAGAATACTAAAATGTAAACAATTGAGGACCTACCTCGTAGAAGCAGATTATAGCGAGGAATTCTCTGTACCGGCGTTAGCATGTAATGGGAAATTCCAAGCATCTTGCACTCGGGTTGCCGCTGTTGATACACACGTGCACATCCACGCGCGCACACACACACGCAAACAAAATCCAAAAGCTAAGCTCCAGCAACGCACACAAGACACATGCAAGACATCACTACTATGTGTGGATACTGGATACACTATTTGTGCATGCAATTCCACTATTACTGCTGCAGTGAACTTGCAAACCCACAGTATCCTCATGCGAACCAAACCACAAATACAAGTCACCAGGTGCTTTCAACATCCGATGAGCTGGACAACTTGTTATCAGTGCTGCCATGCACCTGACAATGACTATGCACAGGCTGCCCCCAGTGAGAAAAGAAAGAAAGCATAATTATAGCGTTTACATGTGAAAGAACAGTGGTCTGTTGCCCAGGAAGTAGTTGAGCAAACCCTCACCTCAAAATCTTGAATAAGACTCTTGAATTTCTTGTCAGACTTGGCCATATCTGACACTGTCTTCACTGCCTGCTCAAAGTTCATTGTGAAGTTTCCATACACCTGCGACCCAGCAAAAGCAAACACACACACACACACACACGCACACACACACACACGCACACACGCACACACGCACACACACACACACACACACACACACACACACACACACACACACACACACACACAGTTCAATTAAACCGCCATAACGTGCTGAGGAAGAGGTTGAGCGGACTCGCTCTTTCTCCAATCGCTCTGCAACAATCAACTCTTTTACCAATCATTTTTCACAACGTTTCGCCAAAATTGCCCTCATCAGGTACTGTCAAGAGTGCATAAACAAGAGTATGCAACTGTGGTTATGGGTCAGTGCGCGGCGCGCTGCCTTCATTACGTAACTTGACTTCATCATGCTCTGAAAGCATGCATTCAAACTCTCAATTTCTCGCACGAGCCCATTTGTTTTTGCTCGATTTGTTCCAGTACCTACACAATCTCTGAATTCTGGCGCGTGAACTCCAGTTTCGTACGAAAGTTCATTTCAAACTGGAGGGAAAGTGCGGTGTTTGATTTTCCGCAGTGCGCGGACTGCAGCTGAATGATGTAATGAAGGCAGCGCGCCGCGCATCTGGCCCATAGAAAAGAGATCACAGTTGCATACTCTTGTTTATGGACTCTTGGTACTGTAAATATACAAATTTTCGGCAGCTATTTAATTTCGGCTATATTCGGCACCGACCCAAAACGCCTAAATTAAAACGCCGATGAAATTTTTCACAGCATCTGTCGCACTATACCATGCCCTCTACCCGGTACTCCACGCCGAAAATAAATCGCCGCCGAAATGTCAAAAATCGTGAAATGCCGAAATTTTGCAGCGCCGAAATTTTGTATATTTACAGTATGCAATAGTATGCAAGCTTGCAAAGGAGTACAGTACAGTTGTATACATATGATTTATGATGCTATGTTGTGCTACATTGCACCCACTGTGACGTGCCGCAACCATAAAGATAATAACCAAAACAAAGTGTAGGTGCTGAATCTGAGAAATAAGCTGGGGTGAGCTTACCCTCAAGAACGGTGCAAACTCTGACATAATGTCACCGATCTTTGGATTCAGGTCCCTGAAGCAAACAGAAAACACACACGCAAACGATCGCCATCTTTATCATCATCTAGCAGAGGCCTCGCTTCCACTGTCTCTCTGTACCGTACTACATGTCGTCACATACATACAATTGAGAAAGACACAGCGGTAATGACGCTTTGTGAAATACACACACACACACACACACACACACACACACACACACACACACACACACACACACACACGTGCCCACGGAAAGCCAGCAAACATACCAGTTGGCTATCCGTTGCGTGAGCTCGTCCAACATTCTAACATGGATACCGTAGATCTCTGGCAGCACACCAAAGATGAACTTCATCTTCTCTGCATCCAAGCCCTTGCAGGCGCCATCCCGCTGAGCTTTCTCCAGGATTTCCTTCAAGTCCTGTGGCATAGGCAAGAAGGAAATACATCCATGAAATTGAGAACTAGGTTGACAGCAGCACTCAACAATACATCACATGGGTGCTATAGCCATAGGCTGGTTTGACTAAGGGGGTTCCTCGAAGGCAAAAGGGAAAGAAAAGCTATAACACTTAGTGGCAGCACACACTTCAGGTTCTTCAACTTAAGCTGACTTGACTGTTCATGATTTATAAATACCGTAAAGTACTGCCAGAGCGCCCCGTCTTGCGAGAGCGCGCCCACCTTGATTTTACAGCCAGGGAAAGGAAAATCGTGTGGCAGAGTGCAACAAAGTAACAGTCAGTTTGTACGGTGTGAGAACCTTAGTGTGCTTAAGGCCACACTTAGCGGGTTTTTGTGTGGAGCTCGTGTCCGCTCGAAGGTACGGATTGACTGCACACTATGCAATATGTGTGTGAAGGTTCGTGTTGTAAGACCTACAGACAGGAGACCACCTCCACAATACGACCACGAAAGGACGAGATGGCGGTAATAGCACCAGTAGTGGACTACAAATGCAAGAATTTGCTCCTCCAAGGACCATTACAGCCACCTACACAGAGGGCAGGCATCCCAATACACTGTCTGTCACGCTTCAAGAAGCCGAGCCTTATGGCAACATACCCATCCACTATCTGCCATAAATGCACCCAACCTACTAAACTAGTTGACACACACACGCACGCACACGGCGCCCGTGATCAATAATAATTGAGAAGAGTTCAAATTGACTGCTAACCTTTGCTAACAGTTTCAAGCCAGCAACATAGCTGTAAAACACAACCAACAGAAGCAGAACAATGGCTGACTACCACATGTACCATCAAGGAGGGGAATTTTCGAATTGTGGATAAATGCACGGCCTGCACTGCATTGTGCATTTTGGGACTACAGTAGGTATCGGTTATAGCGTGGGTATTAGAAAAACGACTTTCTATTCTTATTTCCGATATTTCTTACGACCGATAAATCCAGCGTGACATATCATATGCATGTGCGCAAGCGCAGAAGCAGAAAGATCATCGTACATGCAACGTAGTGCTATTGTGCATGCGGCTGGTCATGTTTCGCTACACAAAGTCCATTCTTAGGACCGATATATTCTACTATGCGACAAAATTGCTTGTAAGAATAAATGTGCACTTGAAACCCATGTTATGATTATGAAAGCATGAGAGTTCATTCTTGTAGGCAGTATATTCTTTTACACGACCACACCATAACCGATACGCACTGTACATGTAAGCACTGGTATTGAAAAAAACGATTTTTGTAATTTCTCAAATAATTACGTGCATACAGTTTTGGTTGCATATGGCATGCATTCGGAGTGACCATGGAGACATGCACACATTTTGACAAAATCAGAGGAATGCAACCAAGCTTGGTGGACTTTTCGCAAAAATGAACTCTGTTGCTGGAGTAATGTTTGATTTGCATGCGGCTGCTACTTGTGCACCATCTGCTCAATCCTATTCTAGATCGTACGAACCAAACATGAATATGGGTCGTCCTTAAACAAATTATTCAAAACACACACACCACCACCACCAGCAGCAGCAGCAGCAGCAACACCACCACCACCACCACCACCACCACCACCACCAACAACAACAAGCCATACAAGGGCTCCATAGAAAAGCAGACGCTGTGATAAAGTACGTATCTGGAGGAAAAACAGGCAATGCAACTAGTCATTGCCAAACAGTGCTCCAGTACACATCAGAGCCAAACATGTAAGTCCACTTACCTTTGTTCTGTAGTCATAAGCTCTTCAGCAGTTTTCCTCATCTTGAATATTTGTTTCTCCTCCTGCTCAGTCACACACAAAATAACGTTAATAAAAAAACGGCTACTACTAGTACATTACTCATTAGGTATATTGTTCATACACTGGGCAAGGATAGATAGCTTGGTACCACAGAGATGTGAGTAGCATACCTGGGGCTTCTTCTTCAGAATATACTTTGAGAGGAGGCTGCACTCATTCATGCCGAAACATACCTTTGTCATAGTTTTCGTGACGTCCTCCTCTTCCTCCTTAACGGACGCCTCGTCTTCTTTGACAACCCGCTTGATTGCAACCATACCATAGAAGATCTCCTCTGGAGGCGAAGTTTCTCCAGATGCTACACTGCAATTCTCCTCATTGTCGCTGTCCATCTCACTGCTACTGCTGAATAGACTCATATTAGAGTTCTGGCTGATATCGGAGCGCACTGCTTTTACACCAGTTTCCGACGTCGCACCATCCAATGCATGCTCCTGTCCATCACCATCGCCCTCGGCGCCATTGCTGCTACCGTACGACTCCGACATAGGCGGGTACTCGCACTCCTTGCTTTCCGGTATCGATGGGCTAACAGGGCTCAACGGCGACACACTGGTGCGTCTGCCCGTCTGTCGCCCGTCTGTCGCCGACAGCGGTGGCGAAGACGAAGGCTTAGCATCTGCATCACTGTTTCCTATCGTGACATCAGTCTCACTGGCGTGCGTGTCAACATCAGCAGTGCCGGTCAGTGTCTTGCTTTCATTCTCACTATCACTGGTTTTTTCAGCTACACTTGTCGCCGGTACCTGTAAATAACAAACACACAACAATTGCAAATAAATCTTGAAAGGATTGGAGTCGATGAGCAGCATTCTTTGCTGACAGATTGGAAACTAGAGGACTGAGGTACTAGTGAGTTTCTGCTACACGGAACTACGTACCAAACTCCGTGTCAACTGCAGTGAAGTTTGACACAGATTTTTCGTACGTTGTGCCGGCTCTGCTGAACTTCCCGTCACATGTACTCTGTGCGCTCAGTTTTCACACGGAGGCTGTGGTGACGGAGACCAGTCCGTGTGAAAAAATCCGTGTGAAACTTGATCTCGAACCGCGACGAGGTTTCCATACGTACTTGGTACGTTTTACCGGGTAGCAGAAACTCACTATTGCCTTCTCGGTTAACAGTAAGGTATTTCAATACCACGCACACGGTTACAATATCATACGCCTGCCGTACACTGAAAAGAGTAAAGGAAACCCAATGCACAGCAAGCAAGATCACTAAGTACAACATTGCACTGGCAGCCTTGCATGGAGATTCTCGTTTGAAATAATTTCCGGATATACAATGCTTTTTTTAGATCACGTAGCTTCTTTCTATGAAAGGCATGAATTTCAATTGCACCACTAACTGACAAAGCCCTTCTTGCTCTGCAATTATAGAGCAACAGCGGGTACAAAGAAAGCATTATACAAACGTAGGCACGTTATTTCATCCACAGCCCGACGGCGAACGCCGATGTTGATTAATTTACCGTAGGCTGTGGCTGCTAGCCGGATAATTCATCCACACCCATGCGACCCCCGGGCAATATGTAAGCCCTGAGAGCGATAACCCATAGCCGGAGCCAACGGATTGAATTAATAAGATCACACTCATGAAAGAGAGCGGACCTATCTTTATCAATTACTCCTACACCGCTTACTGGTACGGATGGCGGTGGTCTGCGAGGAGGTGTGGACGGTGAAGATTCACCCGACAAACCAGTAGGAAAGAACTGGTTGGCCGGTGCAACTGATGTCAGGGATTTTGCTCTCGCGGCCCTGATCGCTTCTTCCGATGGCTTGGGTTTGATCGACGGCTTATTTGGCCGACTGGGTTTCGGGGGTGGCGCAGCCATTACTCGCAGACCTGCTAGCTAACCAGCTGTAGAGTGCACAACAGAAGCAAAGCACACAGGCAGCAAGAACATGACCAGTTAGCACGGCACTAGGATGGGGAGTGATGTGCACGGACAACGAGAGTACCTTCGCCAACGACATGACATGCACGAGAGCACTGTGGCCAGCACAGCCACCCGTTGTGATCCCACACATATAAAATCAGCAAGTTGGGAGGGGAAGAAATATCAACACACGTAATGATGAAGCCCTTTGCAATTCTGAGAAGGCCTTCCATGCCAATACATCTCGAACAAGTGCATGGGGATACTATGGTCAAGCATGGCAATGTCAATGTGTTATAGCATTGTTGGCTGTGAAGTAGTGATGAAACGTACACTGAGAAGTAATGGCGCTGTTGTAGTCGCGCCAAGCACGAGCACTATACGGTTGACAAGGAGGCGCAAAATCAAAAACAAAACAATACCAACTTTTCTCTAACTCCAGTTGCAACCTAGGTATGTACAGCTGCGCTCGGTGAAATCCGACCCTAAGTGCAAAGCTGGCACCCTGGACCAGTTCCGAACACATCACCATATCGGTACATGTGTACGTCCAGCCACATTCGTGCTACTTCCAGGGCGTCAAGGGCCGTGCAAGTCGAGGGTGCTAAATATGCACACTGGGTTGGATTTCACCAAGTGTAACTGAACATGTAGACAGCTTCCAGCACATGAAGGTGGCATTTGGTGCACGCATGTGTGTGTGTGTATGTGTGTGTGTGTGTATGTGTGTGTATGTGTGTGTGTGTATGTGTGTGTGTGTGTGCGTGTGTGTGAAATGTTCTTGCAAACTGTGCTAAGCCAAGCAGGAAAAGGAGCAGAAAATATCACTGCAATCACAGTACAGCTATCCCGGTCACCTGCCTGCCTTAGTGCAGCTTGCACGTACACACACACACACACACACACACACACACACACATACACACACACAAGCTCACACACACACATACAGGCAGAAATGCCTGTGTATCTGGTGAAGTAAAATAAAAACAAATACAGGAACTTGTGCTGGGATTGCACCATTCAGCAGCTTGAAAGACTAAACACAACCAACTGCCACTATTCAGCCAGGACTACACTCCAGAGCTAGCTTTTTGAAGTCGATTTTTTGCCATATCCCTACATTCTGGGCCTTTGCTCTTTTCTTATTTTTTTCCCTCAAAACACATCACCCAACAAACTCCTGTACGCACTGGCTATTGGCTTAAGAATAACGCAAACAAAGAGACACTACTAATGACATAGGACAATAAGCAGACATCAAGTCATTCAAGAAGTTGCACCATGATGTGACGATAACGAGACAGAGAGGGACCCCAGTATGCGTACATGAGTTAGCGTACGTGCGTGTGCAACACACACACATACACACACACACAGACACACACACACACACACACACACACACGCAGAGTTCAGATGCGGTGTGAGATTCAGCATTACCACGTGGTTAACATGTGTAAGAGTGTAAAGATGTTGTGATCATCAATACGACCATTACATTCACTCCCGTTTTAATTAAGGTGAAGAGTGTTACAAGTCAGAGTGACATTTCTCCTCGAATAGTGATACAATCACTAGTACGTGAAGTATGATACGAAGAGAACGTACTTGTAACATACAGTACATGTACTGTCAGGTACCGAAGACCTGCAGGATTAGCCTTGTGAGTCGTAGCCTAGACCATTCTTACTTCATGTATTACAGTCTATGCACGGTTGAGTCACTGTGTATACATTGGTATGCTGTGCTTGGTGAAATAATTCTAGCCTGTTCATTCTTCGGCACTACGTTCTTCGGCACGCGACAGTTCTGTAGTACAGAAATACTCGATGTGTAAGGCGACGTTACAAGGTTGCTGTGGAGTGTGGGCCAGGACACATCCATGCCTGACACTTGCCCAAAACTACATCAAAAAGTCTGTCTCTCACAGTCACACCATACACACACAGACAGGTACAGTTCAGAAAGTCTGTCACTCAGCTTGTTGCAACTCACTAAATCAGATGCAAAGCCAGCCTGCCAGCATCAGTAAATCGACAAAAGGCAACGTTGCTTGCCATAACCACCACATTATGTAACATCAGATTGAGTGGCTATTGCAAAGGAAATTTAAAACGTTACAAATACGACCATATCTCCAAAGTAACTAAAGATAACAGCGGTGCCATCACAAATGATGACACCTGATTACTTCTCAACCGTTGTCGTTGGGCGTGACAGGGGCTCGGGGTAAAACGACCATGACGACTTTCCATGGCCATGCATACCTATACAACATACTAGTAATTCTCGCTTTATTATAGGTTGAGAGAGTTCAGACATTGTTGTACCGTAGTAGTAGTAGTACTGTGTACGATGTGGTGGAGTGTGTGGTGGAGTGATCGCACCGCGCGCCAAGCACGGCAATTACTTGATGAGAAATAAAGCCTCCATCACACAAACGGCGCATAGCTTTTTTAAACCTATTGGAAGAATAGTCCAAGACCGCCAGACAAACATTGGCTGGCAGTTTACTCGGATCTAGTGTACCATGGTGTATGAAGCAAGTTATTTCAAATCTGACAAACAGAAGTACATGTACAATGTCATGTAACTACCGTAGTCATTGCTCACCTCAGAGATAGTCCACAACAAGAACAGCTGCGGAGAGAGAGCGACAGGAACTTCGGATGTAAAATAAATCCAACACTAATAATTCTTCCAGCTAAATTCACAATGAGTAAGTCTCAATATCCACCTACATCGAGACATCATAATCTGAACTCTCAAACAGCTCAAATCTCAATTCAGAAGTTGAGCACAATGATGGTTGATGCTCTGGTCGGCGGTCATTGTATTCTCCACTGCACAGCTGAGACTACACTATAATCTACCTACTGTATCCTGGGAATTGCAAGGAAACACATCAACTAACGTTATGTAACTATTTCAATAACACAGAGGAGCTCTACTGGAGAAGAAATGTATTGTTCTCCATGCGCTGTACTTTTTCTGAATCTGATGAGTGATGTTGGAGAGGATACTCCAATCATGCATGCACTCATGCTGTGCAAGCAAGCTCCTTCGATTTTAGCGGCTCACTACGGATCCACCTGCATGCACTCCTCTATCTGCCTAGCGCCTGACGTCGACCGTACCGGCCCCTCGACTTCATGCATGCATGCAGAGCGCAGCATGGTAACGAGTGTGGAGCGTGTCGTTGGTTGTTACAGTCATGTTGCCGTGTTGGCGACTTTGCGTGTAGACCATGCATGGTAGACCCTACGTAGAAATGTACGTTTTAGCGCGCCGCACAGCGATCTTTGAAGCTGCAGCGCTGCCTGCGCTGCTAGCCTAGCAAGTGTTAGTCGCCTGCGCTGGCGCGCGCGGGCGACGCTGCACGCGCACTGCCACTGCGTACTGCACTGGTGATGCACCGACCGTCGACTTCCACGTCTGTGCGCACTGTGCACTACGTAGTCTGCAGCCTTGTGTTGAGGGTTGTACCGTCTGTGACCATGGTGACTGTACGGCCGTCGGACAGACCTTCCCAGTGAAATCTGATGCAGGGAACGACTGGGTACCAAGACTGCAAGAGTACTGTGCAGAGTACTGACTACTGTGCAGATCGGCCCACTGCATGCAGGGCGCAAATAATAATTCGACACTTGGATCGGATTTCATTGATCGGGATCGAGGCGCCTTCACTACAGGCTACAGACCAGTAGCTAGCTGCTACCAGGGAGTCGTAAAATACCGGTATTTTACGACTCCCTGGCTGCTACGTCATGGCGCATGGGCCATGCATGATAATTATTATTTGAAAAAGCAAAGGGGTTTGTTTGTTTGTTTGTTTTCATTTTTTACTTCGCCAGCTAAGCGGTGTGTTTAGTAAAGTACATGACTGTACTCCCTTACCTGGTGTTTGCTCTATCGAGGCTCAATAATACAAGAGAGCACCAATATTTTGGGGGCATGTTTTACCAATCAAATGAATGAATGAGTGTGAACCCGAAAGTAGGACACGACCACCGGCACCGTAATGCGTTCCACCATTGATTGCCACGTTGACCAGATGTCCTGAGTCAAACACATTGCAGTGCCATGGCTGACAAACCCAGGTGAGCTCAATGGCCGGATAAATCTTTCCTTCCCCCTTCCTTGAACCTTTCGATTTGGAATACATGATGTACCGCGGTACCTGATGTGGTCCACTGCATGCCTCGATCATTGAATTCTTTTACCAGATTGTACTGAATCTGTAGTTCCTAGACCTGGTGCAGGAGTGCTGTGATCAATTTCTGCACGGGCATGCATACACTTCCACAGACACTAAAACGTTTGTACACTGATCATGCAACATACTACCAAGAGTATACTGTATAACACGTTTATTTCAGTGTAATTTAAATTTCGGTAACTTCGGTACTGGTCCTGGATCACCTAATTTAACCCTTTGGTGCCTGACTGAATTTTAGATTTTTCATAGTTTTGGCTCAATTTTTTGGAAAGCCTATATCTCCGCAACCGTTTAGATAATAGAGAGGTTCCGGGGTACGATTTTCCGTGCCAAAATCCGTATGGGCGCTACGGATTTTTTCCAGGCATGCTCCATACGATTTTTCGGCACAAGAATCAGTGTGGACTGGCTTTCATACGAACCATGCTTCGTATGGAGATTTTGCGTCATCGGGTGCAGAAAGATTTTTCGCGTACAAATTTGGTACGAGAAACATCAATTTTTCGCGGGAAGTTTTGATTTCGGTACAAATTTTCAAAATAAAAAGGCATAGCGCGGGAATGTGACGTGTTTGCGATCGTAACCTAGGCAATGACGGCAAACACATAAGATCCGTACCCCGGAACTTTTCACTGCTCGAAAACGACGTATAAAAAATCCGTAGAGCCTCCACGGATTTTGGCACGAAAATCGTACTCCGGAACCTCCCTAATGTAGCGACAAAAGTATGTATTCTGATTGGCAAGACACAGCAAAATCCGATTTTTGAATTTTCAAGTCAGAAAAATCTACAATAGGGTCAGGGTACTGCGCTGGTCCAAGAACATCTTGGTCGCCAACACCACTCAGCACGCCGAATCCACTATCTCGTCCACGGCCTCCGCCACGACCTCCGCCACACGCGCCACGCACGCCACGATCAGCTGTTCCATCAGCTGGCTGAGCTCGACCAGCGCCGCGAGCAATTCCTCTGCGCAGCGCGAGCGGAGCACGTCCACGAACAGGCTGCGCTTGCCCTCGCCCTACAGAATCTTGAAGCTCATCGTCGGAAATTTTGCTCATCTGAAGAGCTGCCGTTCTCAACAAATTCACCGAAAACCAAATCATCGTTGAGTCAGTCTTCCTCATCTGATGACGGCAGGTTTCCGTCAGAGAAAAGAGCGTCAGATTATTCACCATCGTCGTCTTCTGATTCTTCTTCTACAGGGGCATCATTGGCCTCCAGCTCTTCAAACAACTCAAGCGCTCCTGCAGCATCCATGACGGAGGTCAGCTGCAGTAGCCATGAACTGTACTAGTCGAAAACGAAGCGAAACAGCAACGTTTTGTTCGTGTTGCGGGACGCGTGCTTAGGCTGCCACGCTCGATTGACTTCCGCTGATCTGCGCGATCGTCGTTGATCACGACTCGACTTTTTCAAATGCAACCCCCCTACTTTCTCTATTGCTATCTACAGGCCAGCTACTGAAGGGTCTCTGTACAAAAAATCAGGCACCTGCGATGTACGTGACTGGCTCTGTGCTCAATTTTAGTATGCACTGTCAGCATAGGTCGAAATCGACCTACCGGCACCTAAGGGTTAAAGGGGAAGTATACCCTAAAATCAAATTTTCACCAGTTGTAGTCTTCTGGGTGCTGAGTCGAATGGTCTTGGTCCGAGGAAGCTGCGACGCTCCCTTCCTACTTGAATCCCAATCGAACTCGCGCACTTCCACCGAAACTGGGTGACTGCGCCCTACTAGATGGGGATTTGTATGCAAAATGTCACTAAAAGCGCCATTTCGTTCTTATAAAAGCACGGATGACCGCGATTGGCCCAAATGTTGTAGTCTTTTGAACGCTGAGTCGACTGGTTTTGGTCCGAAAAGGCTGCGATGCAGTGTTCCTCCTTTATTCCCAATCGAACATGGTTGAACAAGCGGTCACGTGCTCCTGGGTGCCCAAATCACCTGGTCACCGCGCCAGCAGGCGACAACTTTCACACCAAGGTTCAACTCGAGTGACAGGACTGCACCCAAAAAAGGTCAAACAGGCTAGTAAGTTGTACCCTGCAGGCACGGTGACCAGGTGACTGGTGTACGCAGGAGCACGTGACCGCTTGTTCAACCATGTTCGATTGGGAATAAAGGAGGAACGCTGCATCGCAGCCTTTTCGGACCAAAACCAGTCGACTCAGCGTCCAAAAGACTACAACATATGGGCCAATTGCGGTCATCCGTGCTTTTATAAGAACGAAATGGCGCTTTTAGTGACATTTTGCATACAAATCCCCATCAAGTAGGGCGCAGTCACCCAGTTTCGGTGGAAGTGCGCGAGTTCGATTGGGAATAAAGGAGGAAGGGAGCGTCTCAGCTTCCTCGGACCAAGACCATTCGACTCAGCACCCCGAAGACTACAACTGGTGAAATTTGATTTTAGGGTGTACTTCCCCTTTAACATTACACCTAAACTTTCTGAAATACCAAAAGTATGTAAAAATCATGAAAATCACTGTCAAATTAAAAGAAATCAAACTAACTAACTTGTACTACAGTCCATTTCAAAACTATAGACGCGTGAACTCATACGTACGAGCCGTACGTACTGTAGCGCACGACAGCCGTGAGTTTTGCATGAGTGTTTTCTGGTTTTCAGATGTGTTTTTCAGGTTTTTCTTCGTCGCCGCGGGAAATACAAAAGATGCAAAACACGAAAAAGTCGCAAATGAAAAGGTGTGAGGAAAGTCTCAAATGAATCTTCTTCTTGTTTGCATTTTCTGAGTGCCTGACTGGAATGGCTTCCAAGACCCGTAAGGATCTCAGTGATGCCGAGAAATATATGATTAGTCGTGTTCATTGTTTCTTCGAACAAGAGCTGGATTTTGATTGACGCTTGAGTATCCGAAATCCTCGTCGTCGAACTCACCTTGCAACTGGCGTGAGTGAAACCACTGTCACTCGTTGTGTCAGGCGAAGGGAACAGGGAGGCTCAAATCAAATCAAAAAGAGAAAATAGAATTATCATCTCTACTGTATTTCACCCAACAAGATCCAAAACATGCAGAAAAGAAGAGAAAAAAAGGCAGGAGGCGTGATCATGGTGATGGGATTCGAATGCCCCACACTTGAACTGGAAATCACGGATCGAAACCACGAGGCTACCAGGATCCGTACAAAAATGCACCCGCGATGGTCTGGGCGCAGCACTGTCTCAGCAGGAGCAAAAATCCAAACAAACTGGTCAAACCCTTCAAAACAGAAACTACATGTAAAACCGGAAAACCTGGCCTAAAAATAGACTTCAATTGTAGCGAAAACAAATTATATAGCCAGAATTGTGAAGCGATGCAGAAACGGAATCTGGAGGAAAAACTAAAAATATTTAAATAAATCCCATCGAATTTTGCAAAACACTACGCGTCTATAGTTTTGAAATGGACTGTAGTATACTCTCATGACTGTACATGTACATGTACCGTAAAATCCCGCCAGAGCGCCCCTATCTCCTCGACGCTTCAGGTGGGGAGGGGCGGATGGGCGAGTCCTACTTGCCGCATTCAGTGCTACATGAAAAAGTACTCACCCTACGAAAACTGTTCGTGCATCTCGTACACCAACCAAAGGTCAAGCCAGGAGTCGAACAGACCCGACAAAACGCAGGGTTTGTGCGATCCCTGGTCATGGTCAGGAGGGTGGGCACTGTTGCGTACATTTCCAACGGGGTCGAGCACGCGTCTGCAGTGCAGTACGGCATCACAGACTGCGACAGAGTCATACGAGGATACAATCAATCACGTCCCTGACAAGAAGTCAGGGAGGGGCGGATGGGAGAGATGGGGTGCTCTGGCGGGATTTTACGGTACATGTATGTGGAGCAGGGAGTCGTCAAATACGGTATTTGACGACTCCCTGATGTGGAGCCTAGCCGAAGATAATTAAATTTTAATAATAGTGCGAGAGCCGTTTTTTTTTTTTTTTTTTTTTTTTTTTTGGTGCCACATACCGAATTTATCCCTACACCGAAAGGTCAGGGGTTGGCTTTTACCGAAATTTTACAACACCGAAAATAAGGTGATATACAGTATAGGCCCCCAAGAGTGCGCAACTCTGCATACGGGATCTCCGACGGCGAACACTCACATCACGTGTATCAGGTACGTTTTGTACTGTGTACAACGAAGGATAGCGTGCACGCAATCCGAAAATCTGCCATGATTATGCTGGCGAGTTGCATACGCGCAGTGAGTTTCTGCCAGGGAGTGCTTTTATTATTACTCCGCTGCTCGCTAGAAACAGGCTGGAAACGTACAACTGGGACACTACACCACGTGATGTGAGTTTTCGCCGTCGGCGAACCCCATAGAAAGGGTATCAGGAGTTGCACACTCTTGGGAGCTTATATACTCTTGATACTACATGTAGTACATGGCCATGTGCTTATGCCCACTACACCGTAAATGTATAGAGCTTTTTCAAGGACGGACCAACGGTCACTTTTTCGGAGCATGTGCGAGAAATTGTTGAACCGCTGATAAACAGGCGAAGCCCAGGTCACATTCAGTTTGTACGGGAATGGACGCAGGGAGCTGAAAGAAGCACTAGGGCGGCGCTCAACTTCATGTCCGACACTCATTTTGACTCAGAGCAGCTGCCATGAAGCCCTTCCATGGCTTGGGCGAAAAGAACGAGCTTCAGAATCGCTCCAAGCGCTGGTGGAGACGAACCTGTCACATTTCGTATACTTCAAGTTTCAATGCGCAACCTGTTCACCACAATCTCGGGGTGAGCGCCACTGATGGGCACCGCGCCGTGTCCTTGAAAAAGCTCTATTGGCAATAGATACAGTGCTGCTCTATGAAATCCAGCCGCGTCACTCAAGTTTGCGCCTTGCACCATTTTGCAGCCATTTTGCAGCCCAATGGCAATGTTCGCAGGTCTACACTTATAGGGCTGTGCAACGCCCGGCGTGTACTTGACTCTTGAGTGACGGGACTGGATTTCACAGAGCAGCCCTGTACATTCGTGCGCAGTTTATAATGCTGTGAAGTCACGAAACGTGTGTGCAAGTTTTAGGTCGCAATTTGCCGGCACTGGCACCTTTGCGGCCGGGGATGTTCGCGAATTTACTCAAGTACAGTAGAGTTGTGCGTACAACAGCGTACTAGTAGACAATGCAGTTTGACATTATATTTCAGTTTCCAGCAATTCTGCCAAGGAACATGCAGGGTAAAACCAAAAAGGTTTCACAGTCCACACCAATCTGCTGTCCCCACAGGATTCCGCGGACGCGCAATTTTCCGCGTAATTGGCTTTCATCCGCGTTTTGAGAGATGTTGCATAAAACCCGCGTTTATTCATGGGAATGTACAAGAAAATAGTACATGATGTTGAAAATGTACTAGTACTACAATGTCGTACCGGTGCATGAGTTTGTACAACAAAGTTGTACACTTGCATGCAACTGCATGCTAAAGCTGTACAAATGACAGAGAACTCGTGGATATATGCATAATGACCGGCGCATATTTGCCGCATAAGTATGGGTTATCCCATGAGTACGAGGGGTATACTGCCGAATATTTCACGAGTGCGATAAACAAGGGAAAATATAAGGGACACGGTATACACAGAGTACGAATGGTATAATCCATTTATCCCATGTACTGTCCCAAATAGAGCGTGACCAGCACTAAAATCTCCCTTATTGGCGTGACCCGGGGAATATCCGTGACCCCAGCGGGGAATATTATTGACCCCAGCGGAGAATATAGAGCGATATTCCCCGCTGGGGTCAAATATTTGATCCCAGTGGGGAATTTCGCTCGGAACGGTCACTGATTGGATGAAATGACCCAAATCGTTTCGTACCATGGGATGATGGCCTGTTTTCTCCCGCATAATTATGCGCATAATTTTAGGATTTTGTCCGCATTATTCTGTGGGGACAGAATCTGGCAGGTGGCAACAGTTTTGTTTTCACTGTCTATGCATCACTTCAAAGGCAAAGGGAAAATGTACATCGCTTCATATCACCTCTAAGGAATGAGCAGTGATGGTACATAATTATACCTGTGAAAATTGCGAATATATATCACCCAAAGTGGAGCTATGTGCCACCAGTTTTAAGTATGCCTTGTAGAGTGTGTGTTTTTATAATCGTCATCTGATGTTTGCTTGTTTTTTTTCCCCAGCAGGAATATTGTGAAGGCGGTCTTCTTTAGTGAATTTCACCCCCAAGCAGGCCCGATTGTCTCCTATCAGGTAGAGAAGTGATTCATGTAACGTATGACTGCATCAGCCTCTAGCCTAAGGAGTAGGCATCTGTTAGTTACTGGAATGGTGCCGAGTATCAACCCTTGAACAAACTGCTCCCTTTCACGTGGAGTGATTGATTGTTGGGCTCACTTCGGCACGGTTTTCTATGCCTGCCGCTCTCCTTCGGCTGTTAGCTGCACTGGTCTTGCTGAAGGCTTAGCGCTGGTGCCCAGTTGCTGCAGGCAATGTAACTACATTGCCATTCGCTCAATAAAAGACTGTAGACTATTGGCGAGGTAAAATGTCTCTCCGTTAGCGTACGTGTATGCTGTGTGTGTGTGTGTGTGTGCGCGCGCACGCGCGTGCATGTGCTTTTTTTGTGTATGGCCATTTGCATGCATGCTATTGTCCCAATGCCTAGACTCCGGAGAACTTCATCAGCCGCGACCTGTATGATGTGGTGTCTGTGTACGTCATCCCCAAGCCTGCCCTGTACGGTAAAATAATGAAAGTGTAAGTCAAGCGTTTTAGGGTGAATTTGCATGGTCTCTTTGTATTTGTGTGCCTCATTTCGAAGGAGTTGCAATCTCACGATGTGGCCGTGTTTTGCCTAAGATTTGCGTTCTGAGCTGGCTAGGCAACATTGGAGCTTTGGTTCAATTATGCATGGGCATAGCATCAAGTAGCCGTGTGCCACCTTGAATGTGTGCGACAACGAAGAAAATGAAAGACGGCCTGCACTTCAAAAGTGTTTGAGCTAACAGGCTCATTTCTCTGTAAATGCTCACCACCGGTTTCGTGTCGATTTCAACAGTGGGTTTCGACAATTTCGCCATCATCAGCTCAACCTGGTGTTTAGTGTTTGCAGTGTGGTCGGAATAAGCTTGCCAGCTGAAACACTTTCCTACCAAATGAAACTGCAGGAGGCCTCGTCCTCACTTCTGAAATCCTGCATAATTTGCAAAAGTTCTAGTCTCTTCCATGCCTCTTCCTGGAAGAGGCTGAAGACTTCGGAAAAGGCATTTGGTGCAGCCTTGTTGAGGCCCACGCGAATTAGCCCGTATTGTAGACTTGTTATAATTCTGGGTGTCCACGACCCTCTCCTCTATGGGGAAATAATGTGTGTGTGTGTGTGTGTATCTGACGCAGTCTTAATTTATTTGTAGCGAAAACGTGACTATCGTGATAAATTGTGTACGTTTATGTTAGGCCACACGTTTTTATTTCTATGTTTCTCGTCACCTGAAAATCTAAAAACGTATGCGAGAGGTGGAAAAAAATAAAAAATGACCGAAAATAAAAAAAGTTTAGACCTTTGTTCACACTAAAATCCACCAATACACCATGCAAAATAGCATCCATAGTTAGCAACTAGTATGTGGTAGGAGCTTCTGTCACAATCTGCGCATGTGCAGCTAGATTGCGCACAAAAAATGCCGTCCTTGCATCATGTGTCGCGCAGGCCAGGCCACATTATGTACATGTGCATGAGTGTGCTGGTCCCCACATGCACAGTCAGTGCAGCACAGTTTTTTTCTTTTTTTCTTCCAGACTCCTGAATCGTATGCGCGCGGGTGACGAGAAACATAGAAATAAAAACGTGTGGCCTTAGCTGAAATCCCGCAACATTTCTGCTTTGAAAACCTTCGGGTGGAGGGACATTCGTCTGATTTTGCGCCTGGGCTTGCAGGCTTATGAACGACAACTCAATGCCTAGCAGTCCTTATGTCGAATCCTCTTAGAACTCCTTTCTGCCCTGTTTCCTTGCCTTTTTTCAGTTTTACACATCTCATTTACCGTATCCTGATCTTCCTAGATGATCATGAAGAATTGAAAAATTGGCAAAAATTGTGCTACCGATTACAGTGTTGTGACTGTTCTCCACTGAAGAATATCGCAAGAAAATCTGGATTTGAAATTGATGCGATGATTTGACTTGTATGCGCATGTGCATTATTATTATTATTATTATTATTATTATTATTATACAAGCGAGGGTCCCTGGTTCGAGTCCTGGTGGTGACAGTCAATTTTTTCTTCAGACTTTTCCCGTTTGTCTCTTTCCCTCAAAACCAGTCAATATTATTATTATTATTATTATTATTATTATTACGCACACACTCATGGCCAAGGCCAATCAAGGAGGATATGAGGGCGATTATAGCCAGCCATGGCAAAAAAACAAAAAAAGAAAAAGAAGAAGAAAGGAAAACAAGTGCAAATCAGAACAACAACAGTAAAAGAAGAGATTGGGCTGCAAATCAAGTTGTATTATTAGGTTTACGGGAAATGGTCCGAGAGATCACGAACAATGGCAGAAATGTTTTCACATGATTTCATTTTTTGGGGAAGCGAGTCCCAGAGACAATAGCTAATGAAAACAGGCGAGCGACTCGTTGAGTTATTTCTTGAAATAGGGAATCTTAGTTTATTACGACTTGACGAAGAAGAGTTAAACCAGTTAAGCGCATTTTGAATATGCATTGGGGCCTTCAGCAGTTTAATCTGATGGATAAATCTTCAGCAGAGTCTGTTAATTATGGTTTGTAAAGGACGGGTTTTGCATTGGGAGTACAGCATTGTTAATGGGGTGTCAAGTGGGAAGCGAAATATCGCTCTCAAAGTCCTGCGATGCATTAGTTCAAGCCGCGTAAGCATTCCTGCTCC